GTAGGAATTATTTAGGAAGTGATTGATTTTTTCTTGGGACACAAAATGAGACATCGGCACTTGATTAGCAAAGTAACAACGGATGAAGTCATTTGATTTTCTGCAGCGTTTGTTAGTAATATTATTTTATGAATAATAGAAGCTTAAATAAGGATGATAACATTGTGTGTCCATACCTATGGCGTGACAACATCGTCTTATCAAAACCCCCGTCTGAATGTCTTTGGTGATGTTCGAGCTACGCGAACAACGATGTGTCAATTATGTGTTTCATGTATACCAAAGGGTTAATATACTTTAGGGTACTGTTAACGGCGGAGGGACTGTCTTTGTTCAGAACTTATTGAAATGATTAAAAGTATTTTGTGCATTAATATTAGAATTCCTTATGGAAAAGCAATAATTTGCGGCGTAGTTGCCTCGATTTCCACTACCGTCCACAGATGATAAACAATCACGTGTGTTATCAATGTTGTTGATTACAAACGACAAAACGACAAATGTTCAAAGTGGTTCCCTTATCAGATCTAATGAAAGAGTAGCACTGCTGCAATTGCATTTGCTGTGCAGAGTGAAACGTTGTTGCTAGGAGATCTTGTTTATTGTATATGAATTATCCGTGTAGGGTGCCTAGAACCTTTAGAAACTCTTGGAGAATTTTCAATACATGTAAATTGAGGTGGGTAAACTTTACAGCTCACTGCTCCCACTGCTCTTTTGATGTGCATTTAGGCCCCAAAAAATGTTGTATAGGAACAAACTTATTAATTTGTATGACAAAAATTCAAAAATAGCTCAATGTTAACAATTCTCGGACAACTTTGTGAAAGACCGCAAATCGATTCGACTTCTGTACAAAAAATGACTAACCTTTTAATCTAGACCTGGGTGATGCGGTGTGGCTTCTTTTCAATGTTGGCAGTGTTATTCTTTGCCATCGGCTGGCAGAAACCTTTTGATTGATTGTTTACGTTCGTATATTCGCGAATGATTATAGAGAAGCAAAATGAACTTACTTAACGATCCTGCGCACCTCCAGGGGTACAAAGGGCCTTTGTGAAAGATTTCCATCCTGGGCGATTACTAGCTTTGGCCTTGACCTGTGCCCAAGTCAAATTTCGGTCAACGTTCTTAATTTCATTGTTTAGGCTCCGCCGCCACGAGCCTCTGGGTTTGCCTCTGCTGGATTCCAGTCCAGTGCTTGCTTGCAGATTTCGTTTCCGCTCCGTCGTAGTGTGTGGCCGACCCACCTCCACTTCCGTTCACGAATTTCTGTCTCTATCGGCTTCTGGTGGCACAAACGATGAAGCTCGGAAATTGAGATCCAATTGTGGGGCCACCAGGCACGAATTAGTACCGCAGGCATCGGTTGATAAACACCTGCAGCTTCTGAGTGTTTTCCGCTGATACACACCATGTTTCACTGGCGTATAACAGCACAGACTTCACGTTCGAGTTAAAAATTCGGATTTTGGTGCGTCGACTGATCTGATTCGCTCTCTATACATTTCGCAAACTGGCAAAAGCAGCCCTCGCCTTCTTAATCCGTGCACCTATGTTATCTGACTGCCAAGATATTGGAAGCTTACGACTTTCTCCACTGCCTGCCCAGCTACCGTGAAATTGGAACGGTTTTCCGTGTTGACATCCAACAAATTGGTCTTGTTGACGTTGATGGTTAGACCTGCTTCAGAGGATCGTTCCACAAGATCGTCGAGCTTACTCTGCATATCAGGACGCCGTTGTGCTAATAACGCAATCGAAGTCGTTGAGATGCTCCATAGTAATAGGCTGCCACAGCAACCCACGGTTCGGTACACAGTCGTCGATTACGATGAGAAACAGTAGCGGTGATAATATACATCCTTGACTCACACCCGCGATTACCCGAATCGGATCAGACAAAGCTCCGTTGTGCAACACTCTGCATGAGAAAGCCTCGCTTCGATGAGGTTGACGATCTTATTAGGGACTCCCTTGCGTCTCAGAGCGCCCCACAAGTTTTCGTGGTTTAGTCGGTCGAAAGCTTTTTCGTAGGCAATGAATACCAAGTACAGGGACTCTTGGAACTCATTGACCTGCTCCAAGATGATGCGGAGCGTGACAATATGGTCCACACAGGATCTTCCAGCACGGAATCCTGCCTGCTGTCGTCGGAGGGTCGCGTCGATCTTCTCCTGTATCCGATTGAGGAAAACTTTACACAGAACTTTGAGAACAATACACAGTAATATGATGCCTCGCCAGTTGTCGCATACAGTTGGATCCCCCTTCTTGGGGACTTTTACCAAGACGCCCTGCATCCAGTCGGCCGGAAAAGTCGCGGTGTCCCAGATATTGACGAATAGTTGATACAAAATTTGTAAGGATAGCATGGGGTCAGCTTTGAGCATCTCTGCTGATATGCGATCGACCCCCGGGGCTTTGTTGGACTTCATACTTCGGATGGCTGCTTCTATCTCCTGCACTGATGGAGCTTCAGTGTTGACGCGAGTAACGGATCATACCGAGATGTGATGGTTGGTTGACCGTTGAAACTTCGAGAAGTTGTTCAAAGTGCTCAAACCAACGTTTCAACTGGTCAGTGGGGTCGGTGAGCAACTGTCCAGTCGCGTCTTTCACAGGCATCCTTGGGTTCATCCTCGCCCCGCTCAGGCGTCGTGAAACATCATAGAGGAGGATATCGCCAGTTGCTGCGGCTTTCTCCCCTTCATCAGCCAGGAAGTCCATCCACGTTCGCTTGTCCCGTATACAGGAGCGCTTAACTTCCCTCTCTAGAGCCGAATACCGCTGACGGGCCTCGTTGTTCCTCGGGTCCTTGCTCGCTCTATCGTGGCTTTTGCTTCTCTCCGCTCCTTGATCTTCCTCCAGGTTTCATCGGTGATCCACTCCTTCCTCTGAATGCTCAGCTCACCCAGGTTGTTCTCGCTTGCTTCAATAAAGGCATTCTTAATGCTCGTCCACTGTTCTTCTACGCTGCCACCTTCCGGAATATTAGCTTCGCGAGCCTCGAGCTCTTCGACGAACGATCTCTTCACTGCTGGGTCTTCCAGTCGGCGTGTGTTGAATCGCCGCCCGAGTCTCTCCTCCCGCCGTTGAACCCACGCAATGCGTAGGCGGATCTCACATTATCGCTACATCCCACTATTAATAAAATGATTTGAAATAAACTTGAACATTTTTAATATTGATCCACTGCAATACTTAAATTCGTTTCGTCACACCGGGAGAGTAAAAAATTGGTTCGGATTGACAGCTCGAAAATGGCTCGATTGTGAGATTCGTCTTCGCATCACCCAGGTTTAGACCAAGTGCTCTGCACATACCTACGAGCTTATATGTATGACTATGACTATATGCAGAGCACGGAGCCTAAAGTTAAATAATAAACAAAGTTGCTCTGCATAGTTTTCCTATTCTAACGCGAAGCTATTCATTTGCTTGCCAAAAAATCACAAATAGCTCAATTTTAACCAAAACTGGGCCTTTGATTAGGAAAACTATTCACTAACATGGGACAATCATGGAGCCACCAGCAGTATACAGAATAATAGACATTCTATGAAATGTTTTGTAGTTATTAAATTTGAAAGGATTGTTCAAACTTAGAGGGTTACTTAAGGATTCTGATTTCTGGAGTTACAATGAATTTTGAGGACTAGGAGCAGGAATAAATATTCCGCGAAGAATTAATTCGGTTATCAATTTAGGAACAACACCAAGTTTAGGAGTTGCTTTAAGAACTTCAACACTTCTCGATTTGTAGTAACTGCTAGCTCACTCACACAAACTTATAACACCAGGTGGTAGAGACAAATGGTCGATTAAAGAGATTGTTTACAAAATCAGATACCTCGATTTGAAAAGTGACGCTTGAACTATGCCATTTTTACAAAGACTTCATATGGAGAAGACTAGTAAATCTGCCAACATAAAAAAGTAACGCTGCGCTTGAGCAAAGATAGAATCACTGCATAGAAATATAAGCTAATTGTAATTATGGACGTCTTCTTCTTCTTGGCATTTCACGTTCTTATATGAGCTTATGTTTGCTTTCAACTTAGCACTTCCACTATTATTAATTGAGAGCTTTCTATGCCATCAAATGTATGAATTTCTATATTATGTGCCAAGCATAATGATACCCTCTATGTCCATGGAAGTCGAAAACCTTTCGAGGACCAGGAGTCGAACTCGCTGCCTCCGGCTTGGTAATGGCGAACTGACTGAGACTCCAATGACGGACGTACACGGTTCAACTAACTCCAGATTTGGTAGATGGCTTTCCAGTAACTTGGCAGTGAGTAGAGAAGTTGGACATCGATCGACTTACTGGGCCTTCAATTCGCAGTTTAAATTAGTTAAACGCCGATTATAATCGTCTAAACTAGGTTAAGATAGCGTAAAAGTGGCCAGTCTCTTTGATTAAAAAAAGCATTAAAATTATTAGAGAGGCAACTTTATCAGAAAAACCTGGGGAGCCGGAAAAAATAAAGATTTTATTTTCATCACGAAAAACTGAGATTTGTAAATCATTAATTAGATTATCTTCTAACAGGCTTAGTTTTCTCTAGATTGTGTTTTTAACATATAGCAAATCAAGGCTACTCATTTACATCTCCTTCGCTTAATTCAAAATAATGCAAAATTTGCCTATAGTATGTCTAGTGGGAATAACATTTTTAAGGGTGTATGATCAGGGGAAGAACTTACTTAAGTTCGAAGTTTTTTTTTTGATTCGACTCCGGCTTGATTACAATTTAATTCAATCTTCGATCAGGAAGTTTTCTCAATCAACAAACGACATCTAACGATCATTGGCTAACGCACGATCTGGTCGTACTGATCCATGATGATTTAACAATTTACTTCATTCCAATCTACATACTAGATATGATACGTCAATATCAATGCTATCAATTTCCCAGCGCAATTACAACCGACAAACAATTGGCTTTAATTACTCATTCGTTCTTCATTTCCTCTCATCTCATCGGTAGGAAAACCTTGGCGGCAATTCACGGACGGCCATGCTGGCAACGATCTCACCAGCAGCAACGCATATCGATGAAACACTAGCCACGCTCCGCTATGCATGCCAAGCACGAACCATCGTCAACCGTGTCAAGGTCAACGAAGATCCACACGATCGAATTATCCGTGAACTGCGGGCCGAAGTTGAGCGGCTACAGGTCCTACGACAAGACTACGAACGCCAAAAGCGCCTGTCCGCCAATCTGCAGCAGCAACAGCAACCGAGAAAAATCATTATAGAAACTTCGGTTGATGATAGCGAGGTCGAAGCACTGCGGCAGCAATTGTCAGAAACGGAACAAGAACTTGTCAAGGCTCAGAAATCGTGGAGAGAAAGACTGCTGGAGGCGGAGGACGTGCGCCGAACCGAGATGAAGCTGCTTAAACGGAAGGGTCTTGCTCTTGAGCTGTCAGCCGAGCAGAAGGAACCATGTTTAGTCAATTTGGCTGCTGATCCCATGCTATCCGGAACGCTGTTGTACATAATTCCAGCCGGTATCGTGAAGGTTGGACGACCCTCGTCGTTCTCAACGCCGGATATCGTACTGGAAGGACCACTCGTATCGCATCATCATTGGTAATGAGTTCAAATTTTCGCTTATATATATAACAACTGATGACACCTATCTCTTCTACCACTCACAACAGTTCAATCGAAAACAGAAATGGTAAACTGTTTCTAACTCCGGAGGATGCCGAACAGTACGAAACGTTTGTCAACGGTGAGCTGGTTCGTGAGCGACACCAACTGTTGCACAACGATCGAGTGGTTATCGGCGGGTCGCACTACTTCCGTGTTTCGAACCCGCTCTGTCCGAATCGTAATAAGCAAATCGTAAGTGCCATCTTCTACGATAGGTTATTTAAGCGTGTAATTTGGACAAAAACTATGTTGGACAAGTTGCTAGAAGGGTATGCGTTGAATTATCTGTGGTAATGTCAGTCTATTTGTGGGATAAGAATAATTTGCAGAATAAAATTTAATGCAAGCGCTGAAAATTAATTGCTAGAATTGGATTATTAGTTGAAACACATAGCTGAAGTCCCGAGAAGATCAGAAAAAGAGTATTTGAAGACTAGAAAATTATTCCAGCAAATTTGTGAGTTGCATGCTTCAATCACCAATTCCGTGCATCGCATTTTTTTAAACTGAATCCTCAGCTATTTCTTTGCCATTCCACAGATTGTCGATTTTCAGTCGGCCCATCAGGAAATCCTACGCGAACAGGAGAAGCGGCTACGCCGTGAGCTGGATGCCGAAAAGCAGGTGGCCATTTCGCGAATCGAAGCCGAGCGCATCGATCATGAGCGACAGTACGAAGAGCGGCTGGCATCGCTGGAATTGGAAAAGTTCAGGTACAAGTGCCGCCAGGAGCTGCTGGAAACGGAAAAGGAAGCAATGCTGAAGCACAGTACAGACGAAGAGGGACAAGCTGCACTAGAATTTACCCCCTTCCAGTCGAATTTGGCAGAGGAAATTCGGAAAATTATGGAACGACCCAGCGAGGAAAGCTTGCATCAAATTCAGTTGATGGTTAAGGAAGCCACCCAAAGGTGCAAGGATTTGGGGCTGGAGTTTGAGTTCCAACAGTCGCAAGTATTGGATGAGCTGGGAATATTTAGGGCCGTTGTCAATATCTACGATAAGACTAGTGGAATGGTGGCAGAGTGGCTACCAGCCCGTTTGGAGTATTGGCTGGGTGTGGTGAGGGATAGAGAGGATCTCAACAAAGATAACATTTTCGAAAACTTCGATCTAGAATGGAAGGCCAATGACGAGGAACTCAGCCAACCACTGAATGATTCTCGTAACTCCCGACGAATATCGCTCAATCTGACTTCGGTTAAAGATGTAATTTTGAAAAGGAATAGCCCAGGAAAAAGGTCCCCCTCAACCAATGCCAGAAAGTCAGAAAGTCTCCTAAAGTCCATGTTCAAACTAGGCAATTCCAATCCAAGCAGTGCCCGAAAGGAGTTATTCGCTGACGAAAATCTACCTGACCCCCGCCATCGAAACGATGAAAACGTGCCACAAAATCAGCAGTCTCCTTCGCCAACCAAGCCTCTCCGATTCGGAATGAAGGCTAGCAAACAGTTACGGGACATTCAGGTGGCGACCGCCAAGCTCAGGAAACTGTGCGAAAAGTATCACCGGAACAACCCCCAAGACGACAGCATTTGCACCATATTTGATTCGAACGATGGAAACCGATCGGTGGAGCACATGGCTAGGGACTTCCTCCAGTCGGTAACGGAAATCGAGAGTGCCGTCCAGGATATGCGCTTTGTGCTAACGGAGCAAAGCGCGAAGCAAACGGCCGAAGACGAGCAAAAATCGTCCAAGTCGGTAAGGTTTCTGTTGGATTAGGGTCGATTTGTTCGGTGCGCCCTGGTGATGAATATGCGTTTAAATGCTCGACATACTTGCATTGTTTGATATAGTATTAACCAGTTATATCCTTACTAACACTATTTATTAGCTTTACTTCGACGTGTTTTTGGGAGGTATTTCGTAGATATATTTTTTTTGTCAATAATTATTACTGTGAAGCGTAATATATCGATCGTGATTTTCTTTGGAAGCAGACGGGTTTCACTCAGAAAGAAATTCCTGCTAGGTTATTTTCTGTGCTGGAGAAATAGGTAGCACATACCTATATGATTTTAAAACTTTTCTATGATTTTCGGTGGAATTAAGAATCGGAGAGGACGTCTAGCTATTATTTTCTATTTGTATGTCTGATTTAGTTCCAGCTGTTTATAGTAGAATAAGAGCTCAAAAGTACAATGCTGGATTTTTCCTGTTCCATTTACATTGCCCCCTCTTCCATCCTCTCGTCTTCGAGTACCTTGATTAATTCGTCCCAATTGTAAACGACGGTGCTTTTTTTGAAATTACGAAGTTACTATACAAATGATCCTTATTTTCTAGTTGTTTGATACTGGCCTTAATTCTGGAGGTAGTACTTAATCCGGTAACCCTTTATTTTACACACGAAACACTCGTTTTGAACGATCCTCAAAAGGCATTTTGTGTGCCTTTTGATAGCTTACGTTGCATATCGTGCCGGGGATGGTGATTTGAATTCCCAGTCTGTTGACGACATTTTTCGGATTGGGTTTTTTTTCACGCTGGCTCGACCAGTGGTTAGCAGCAGCACCCTCTCAGATTTCAATGACAATTTGTGAGTGTAAAGATTTCGTCTACTTCAGGAACTTTGCATGTGCTTTAAAAAAATTCTAGACTACCCTTTGAAAAGGGTGGAACTTTTATTCAACTTTTTCTGCAAAAAAATATGTAACTCAGAAAGACCTTAGAAAGTTTTGTCAAATAGTGGCTCGTAGAGAATTACACTAGTTTACAGCATTTTTGAACTCGGTAAGGTGATGATCATTTCCAATGCAAAATCCTACGCTGAATTCAATGCCGTGGTCAGAAAAAAATAAAGTAGAGCCATTTTTGAGATATACAAAAATCTTGATTTTTTGAATTTTGGACAAAAGTACGATTACTAAAATGTCAATATCTTTGGAACTAGTGCACCAATTTTAAATCTAAATCTAAATAAATTTGCTATCGTTCACTGGAATAATATGTCTTAATTAAAAATTTTATTTTGAGATCATTTAAAAATTTACAGCATTTTTTTTATTTTTCCTGCGAATTTTCCATAAAAATCTAGTTTTAATCAACATTTTTAATGGGATAAAAAGATTCAAAAAATCATTCCATAATTTATTCTGAAAGTCCATTCAAAACCGGAGAAAATGAGCCTTTAATGGATGAAATCGGTTGGAAATTGTCGAAGTTATGAGCATTTTTGTAAAACACTTAAAAATGTTGCTGAAATACAACAGCTTTAGATTTCCTTTTCTAGGTGTCGTTGTAAGCATCCAAATCGCATGTAAAGTTTTCATGGGAGATTCTTTTCTCTACATATCAATTTGATTAAGGCATATCAGGATTTAAAACCGAGTTGATACAAAAGAAATTTATTTAGGTTTTATTAAAAATGATTGAGAATCGAATGACTTTGTCTTCGATGTTTGAACTTGTTTTTCGAATCAGAAACCAACAATAGTCACCCATCATTGCTTCATCCCAAAACCCTTGGTAACGACGTTCCATCATCTTCATTTGTTGGTGAAAACGTTCGCCGTGCTCATCACTCTCGTCACCAAGATTTTCCGGGAAAAAATCCATGTGAGAATGTAGGAAATGTATCTTCAAAGACATATTCACACCTGTGTTCAGTGAAATAAAAGGATTTGAAATTAATTATATGTAACAAACACAATATTTTTGATTTATACCAATTTTCTCATAATTTTTGAGCAATTCATCGACGGCTTCCTCATAATCTGGGCTTCTGAAATTTCCTAAAAAGGTTGTGACAACACGCTGGAACGATTTCCACGCTTCTTCCTCATCTGGTGTCAAAACTGTATTGAATGCGGAATCATTGAGCAGTTTTTTGATCTGTGGGCCAACAAATACACCTTCCTTTATCTTTGCGTCAGATAAATTTGGAAATACTGATTTCAAGTACTGGAATGCTGGCCCTTCTTTTGCCCAAGTTTTATATGTAGTGGTGGAAGTATTATGCGTTCTTTGCGTTGTCTTTACCAATTGTGAAATTATCCCGTTTTGGCCAATCTTTTCGGACGTAGTGTTCCTTACGAGCTCGACTGTCCCATTTACACAAAAAAACACATATATTTTGTGTATCCCTGTTGCAATCCAGTCAACATGGCAACCACTTTAAGATCGGAACAAATTTTCCAATTGTGTTGATTGTAATTTATCAAATTGAGCAATAGAGCCATTGATTCATACGTTTCCTTCATATTAACGGCATGAGCTAATGGAATAGAAGGTTTCTCATTCCCTTGATGCAGTAAAACGGCTTTCAAGCTCAACTTGCTGCTATCGATGAATAAACGCCATTCAGCTGGATCATATGGCTCACCAAACTCTTCAAACAAGCCGTTTACGTCATGGCAAAAACATGCCTTGTCCTTTGTAGAATAATATTTGTCAAATTTCTTGTGACGATTCCTGTGACAAGAAATTTTGACCTCCTTGCTCAGCATGTTGTGTTCTTTCAAGCGTGATGCCAGCAATTCGGATTTCTCCTTCGATAAGTCGAGATCTCGCACCAAATTATTAAATTCGGATTGTGTAAACAGTTTTGGGTTTCTTTCCAATTCCACCTCGAAGTATTCCTCGCATTCCTCCTTGAATTTCTCCTCACTTTTTGTAACGGTCGATTCAACAGAGGGCGCTCGTTTCCGCTTTGGATAAACAGGATACGGGACCGACCTTGAATGTGGAACAGGTTTTGTCATAGAAGCCACTTGTGGATACTCAACTGTTTTGTGACGTCCTTGTTGCTTAACTTTTGTCAAGCAGAAATAACAATCCGTTGCATGACAAAACGGTCGACGTCATATGGTGGGCATGTCAAAGGACAAATAGCGACTGATAGATAACAAATAAGTGAGTTAGTAAGTAAGACATTAACACTTATCAAAAATAGATGAAGTAAGATAATGTCGATCAGGAAAGAACAAAGCACTACCATGCTGTACATAAATTGTTTATATGAAAGTTATTCAAAAAATCAATTTACCTTGCGCCTGACATCCACCTAGCCAAGCACGTTTTGCACGAACTACATAATACTTTTGGAATCCACGGTTCGTCAAAGTCTCCAGGATCAATTTTCAAATAAAGCCTGTATGCAGTTTGCAACGAAGCAGTGAAATTGACCGATTTTGTAAATATATAGTTGCCACACGCGTAACAAAACTTTTGAGGATCATTTTTACACTTGAATTCACGTTTTGTAGTATACATCGTTAAGCAATGTTAAAGAAAAAAAGCTGTCAAATTGTGGTTGCGTTAGGTTCTCGCCGAGCGGTCTCACAAACACTAGCGTAAATTATATTGTTGAAAATATCCCATTTAATTTTGCGTGACAGCTGGTAGTGTTAGTGAAATGCACCGTATGCGTACACGTCCGCAGAAAGGCTTACTGGAAGTGGTGCATGAACCTAGGAGCGGGACAACGGCCAATCTTGGAACATTCAATTTCCATGATTTTACAAAACATTTCATAACATCGACAATTTCCAACCGATTTCATCTATTAAACGCTCATTTTCTTCAGTTTTTAATGGACTTTAAGAATAAATTATGGAATGATTTTTTGAATCTTTTTATCCCATTAAAAATGTTGATTAAAACAAGATTTTTATGGAAAATTCGCAGGAAAAATAAAAAAAAAAATGCTGTACATTTTTAAATGACTTCAAAATTAAATTTTTAATTAGAACATAATATTCTAGTAAACGATAGCAAATTTATTTAGCTTCATTTTCATAAAAAAAGATTTAAAATTGGTGCACTAGTTCCAAAGATATTGACATTTTAGTAATCGTACTTTTGTCCAAAATTCAAAAAATCAAATTTTTTGTGTATCTTAAAAATGGCTCTACTTTATTTTTTTCTGACCACGGCATTGAATTCAGCGTAGGATTTTGCATAGAAACGTTGGTCAACCACTAAAGTTAACACTTTTTATGTTGTTTTGTAAACTAGTGTATGTAAGCTTTAATAAAAAAAAATAAACAAAAATTAAATATATTGTTACAAAACTGAAGAAAAAAAATGTTTTAAAATTTTAAAATTATATTACTCATTACTTCATTATTTTTGAAAATTATGTTTTTATAGAAAGACAGACTATTTATCTAAGTCGGGCACTTTTGCAGAAAAAAAAAGTTATCCAACATGAACTTGTTCGTGTTTGCACTGGATGAAACCGAAGACAACATATCAAGAAGACTGTTACCGCCAACAATTAATTCGAAACTAATGATTTTAAATTGGCTCACTACTTGACTAGCATATTGGTCCCAAGCAAATTGATTAACGTATCCCATTCTAATATAAATTCCAGATTTCTACTTCCACGTAGTGTAGTATGTTTGTTTTGATTCGCTATGAAAGTTTGACAGATAAAATGAGGGGTTCGTGGATTTTCCTACACACTAATCCAGCATTTAGTTGTTCGGTATTTTTTTGTACTGGGCTTACACGGTAAAACGAAAGATTTACTGAAAATTCAGTTTAAATCAGGTGAATAACCGTCGTTCTGTAAAACACAAACTGAACTTCGGTATCGTTTGATGCAAAATACTGTACACAGAATATTTGTTTACTGAGAATGTCGTTAATTTCCAAATTTTCGTGGTTTCACGAAAAGTCAGTAAAAATAATTACTGTGCAAAAAGTAGTCTTTATTTTTTTACCAACTGGTCAGCAAAATAGCCAAAAAAAAAACAAGGTTTACCGACCACGAATTGTAAAACTCTAACCTGTAAATTTTATTCCCGGCGCCATTTTAGCTTCAGTAAAATCCGGGAGCAAGTGTTTAACCCCCCGGTTTGCCAAAATTTTAATTATATCATGAATTATATCATGACGGAACTGAGAAAGCTCAACAGCGAAATAGAAGAACTATTTCGTTAATACCAACACTTATTATTTACTCTTTTTGCAGTTCCTTGGTCTCCAATAAATTTTGATTAACAAAATGGATGTTTGCATTGTTTGCTTTCACTATCGACGCGCTATTTCGGGGTACGTCAAGGGATTAAGTCGTCATATTAATTGGCATATTATAAACGGTGAATTGCACCAGGATTCATGCTTTTATGACTGCACATTCACTACTTTTAATAAAACTGGGTAACACGGTATAATAATGAACCAAATAACTGACTTGTCAGTTAAATTGCAGCAAAATAAACAAAAAGAAAATACTGGGTTTTCCAGTATACGCAACTCGAACCAATTACTGAATGAACAGTTATTTTTGACAGATTGACAGTTCGGTAATGCAAATTATTTCTGTGATGACTACTGGGCGATCCGCAATTCAAAAACCCAGTAAAATTTTACTGACTCCAGTAATCTAAAGTTAGTGTGTATGTTTCGAGGGGTGAATCGATTATCTTGGGACCTTCTAATCGGCGAAATCCACCTACGCATGGCGTGGATCCAGCGACGGGAGGAGAGACTCGGGCGGCGGTTCAACACACGCCGACTTGAAGATCCAGCGGTAAAAAGGTCTTTTGTTGAAGAACTTGAGACTCGAGCTGCGGACGTTCCAGAAGGTGGCAGCGTAGAAGAACACGGACGGCCAGCAAGAATGCCTTTATAGAAACAAGCGAGAACAACTTGGGTTGGCTGCGCACTCAGAGGAAAGAGTGGATCACAGATGAAACCTGACGGAAGATTGAGGAGCGTAGAGAAGCAAAAGTCGCGATAGAGCGGGCGTGAACCAGAGTCCCTTTATTTGGTATTCATTGACTACGAAAAAGCTTTCGACCGTCTCAATCACGATAATCTGTGGGGCACCCTGAGACGCAAGGGAGTCCCGGATAAAATCGTCAACCTCATCGAAGCCCAGTACGAGGCTTTCACGTGCAGAGTTCTGCATAACGGAGCCTTGTCCGACCCTATCCGTGTAGTCGCTGGTGTGAAACAAGGATGTATACTATCACCGCTACTGTTTCTCATCGTAATCGACGAGATCATGGTAGGTGCAATTGACCGTGTACCGAACCGTGGGCTGCTTTGACAGGCTATCACCATGGAGCATCTCAACGAAGTCGTTTGGCTGATGATGTTGTTGTTGTTGTTTATTGACTTTACGGTAGAAAGTTTCCAATATCTTGGCAGCCAGATAGCGTCGGACGGCGGGACCAAGAGCGACATAGGTGCACGAATCAAGAAGGCTAGGGCTGCCTTTGCGAGTTTACGAAACGTATGGAGATCCAACCAGATAAGTCAACGCACCAAAATCCGAATTTTCAACTCGAACGTGAAATCTGTGTTGTTATACGCCAGCGAGACGTGGTGTGTATCAGCGGAGAGCACTCAAAAGCTGCAGGTCTTCATCAACCGATGCCTGCGGTATATAATTCGTGCCTGGTGGCCTCATAACTGGATCTCGAATGCCGAACTCCATCGTCGATGTCATAAGAAGCCGATAGCAACAGAAATTCGAGAACGAAAGTGGAGGTGGGTCGGCCACAAACTTCGGCGGGGCGGAAACGAAATCTGCAAGCAAGCGCTGGATTGGAATCCAGTAGGACATCGCAACAGAGGCAGACCCAAGGGCTCATGGCGGCGGAGCCTCAATAAGGAAATTAAGCAAGTCGATAGAAATCTGACCTGGGCCCAGGTCAAGGCCCAGGATGGAAGTCTTTCACGTTGGCCCTTTGCACCGCTGGTGGTGCACAGGACCCTTATGTAAGTAAGTAAGGTCTTGCGCTTGATAATTATTCGTCATTAAACACGCGCCTTGGTCAATGTGTTTCGTATTTCTTCAAAACTAACTCTAAAATAAAATAATAAAATAACGCTGGTCGCCCAAAAACTTCGAAACAAGTGCAGAATCTCTGTGATGATATTTTCCAGACATGTGCAGACCCAGAATAATAAATAAAAATCAAAAAAGGATTTAAATACAAAAGAAAAAAAGAAAAGAGAAATGATTTTAACTGTATTTTGTGACTAAATGCAGCATTCTTCCTAAATATTTAAAATGCTGTACTTGTTCATTCATTATCAATTCACAACAAAAAATAAATATGCATGGTAGCGATTTACAATACCCCTGAACGTCGGTGGACACCGCTAATCGCACGATCACGAAGCTCACCAGTAAATATATTAAATGGAGAATCCTCATTTTTAATAAGGGGTAGAGTTAACAGATGGAGTGAGCATCCTGTACTTTGGCTTTGGATTTTTAGTTGTTCGAAGCAAATGAATTGGTAGTAGGGGAAATGACGGCTTCGGCATGACAAACTATTTTCGGCAACCCAAATTGAAACACTATTTTCACTGGATTTTCTTACGAAAACACTTCGCTGAATGCATGCAAACGATTCTTTATGCTTTCAGCTTCAATTTGACTATATTTTTATCACTGAGAAAAAGCAATCTAGCAGGGTTTTCTTGAAATGAAACCAGTGGTGGCACAAGTCCTGGAGTTTAACATTTTTTCCTTAACATTTGATACTTTGTGCGATAACCATTGTGACGACACACAAAAACAAACTGGCAAGCGGCAAAAATGTCATGACATTTCTAAACTTTTTTCTGCCAGCGACAGAACATTTTCGCACAAAGAAGCAGACAAGACCGGCGGCGCGCGCGACATAAATTTATGTCGTGTAGAATTTTGCTGATTTCTGGCTAATTACTGCATTTATTTGATGTTTATTGCATGGAATTAAAAGATAAGAATGAAGACTGACCACTCATAAGCATTGATGTTAAAATTATGCGTAAATAAGGGAGTTGGTAATTTACTGTCACACGCAAGCCTGCAGCTAAAATTTCATTACAATAAACAGTTTGAAAAAATCAGGCTGCGAGATTTTATTTATTCTCTATCTCCGCTGTTCGCTTGGAATGTAGTTATACACGGTCGCCCGTGTGCTGGCTGTTTTGTTTCGGTCTGGACGATGGTTTTTCAAAAAATGTACTGTTGCCACCTCTGAATGAAACACACGCACTACAAATTGTAGCTGATTTCGAGTTGCCGATAATAGAACAGCAGATTTATATGCAGTTCAAATGGAACGGTTGCCGAAGAAAAACTGGTTGCCGACAATACTCGCTCTCACTAGAGAAGATTGGAGCTTTGTAAAAGCGTTTCAAAACAGTTTTTAACAATTCTTTCGACTAAAATTGTTAGAGCAGCTGGCAGCAAAAGATTGTAAACAAACCAATACTGCATGTGTGCGTTCCATAGAGAAAAAGGCTATAGAAAGAAGGTCGCTGCTTAGGTTGCCGAGAATACGTAAATTCCCCTACATACTCAAATTTATTTTACTGACATCTCGGCAAAGTTTCTGTTCGTTAGCTGAGATCTCAGCAAAATAAAATGTCGAGCTTATCAGCGGTGCCAATCTCGACAAAAAATCTAAGTGTGTAGGTTTCATATCATTATGATATTGCATCTACTACCAATTAATTTGTTTTGAACAGTTGGAAGTTTAAACTGGAGTACGGGATGCTCATTATGCCTCTCTTTACCCCTACAGTAAACTAACTCGATGATAATCTATGCTACTTCGACCACTTTTCTCATACAAATTTCCAAAATTTATCTCCGTAATTCGATTGTCCCTTCAAGTTGGGGTGTAAATAGGTAGGTATCTTTAAAAAAAAAGGGAAACAAAAACGAACATTGAAACTTTCACATGTTTTCAAATTTTATTCTTTTTACTAATTTCATAAACTACTCAAAAAAGGAAACCTAACCCTTCAATTGCTGATATACTTGGAGTGCATTTTTTTCTCACATTTAAACGTATAATTTCACGCTTACGCACGCACGTCAACTTTACTTTCGCTGTAGCAATTATTATCATACTGATTTATTCGCAAGCTTCAAACTGTACAGTGTATCATAAATGGCATGCAACCAATAAGTTGGGAACCAAACATATAGAAAATGCCTTCGCGCAAACGAGTAAAAAACAAACGGTCAGGAAAGGGTTCTAAAACACGATTTTACGATGGACGCGTGTTTTGGTGTCGATGCTTCCTACGAGAAAAGATACTGACGATGATGGCGACGAGGTTGCAGATGAAAAAGAATCCTGTTGGAGCTGCTGCTGTGATCTATGGAGAACAAGAAGCACTGCCGCAAGTTGCTATTCTAACCCTAGAGCCCAGTTGATGCCCTGAACGATGAACAAAATCAACGGTTGCCACGCCACTAACCATCGGATCCAGTCCAGTAGCTGACCGTACAGTACGTGTGGTCGTTCCCATCTGAAATGCAGTCATGGTTGATGTGCTTTTGTTAGAACATACTGAAAAGTCGAACTTACGGATTGCAGAACATCTTCTTGAGGTCCACTTTCTCCTTGCAGTAAGGACAGGTTTGCTTCTTTCCAATAATGCACCAACCTCGTATGCAAAACTCGTGGAACACGTGATCACAGGATAACTTATATGTATCTTCAATAACACCCGTCTCGTTGACTTCCGTCAGTAGTTGATTGCCACATACGGCACATACATTCCGTTCCAGATGACGCGTTGGTATCCCCTTTGGTGTGTAATACTAAACAAAAGATGCGTTATTGAAACTAGCTAACAGATCAATCAAATCTAAATACCCCAATATGTGCAGCCATTTTGTCAGTGCAAATCTCCGATACATCCCGTCCAAGCACACCGTAGTACAGTCCGTAGAAAACAAATAGTAGCCCCACGTCCATCCACACATTCGGGGCTTGATTGAACACAAAGTTCAATCCAAAGAACGTAAACATCATGATGATGTAGCCGATGATTCCCAGACCATAGCTAAGTTTGTAGATAAAGTAGAACCATTTGTAAACCAACCGCGGTGTGGTGCCGGCCACTGGTTTTCTCATCGCTTTCCGCATAACTAAAGCTGTGATGCAGCTGAATATCAGCCAGAAGAAAATAAATCGCCAATACTGACTTCGCAAACTCAGCACGAATGGTATCAACCACAGAGCCAGCAATGTCATAAGCTTAAAAACAAGAAGATAACAATGAAATACGCTGACTATCAGATTTAAATACGCATGATTTACCGAGTATGATTTATAATGTCGTTTCTTCCATTCGACTAGCACGACCTGGGCTATGATGAGTGTGACGAGCAAGATAACAACCATCTCCGCATGCATGGATTCATGACCCTTATGCTTCTCGTGAAGCTTCATATGTTCGATCCTGGAAAATGATCATAAATAGAAACGATAAAGTACCGCCGATAAGGCACATATTCATTTAAGTTTGACCCGACGTCACAAAGCCCAACACCTCCAGATAAGGATCGATAAAACAAGGGTGGGGGCAGCAAAACGTCCACACAAGCAGTATTATTTATCAACAAAGATACGAATAAGGAAAATCTTTTCTTCTTTCCTCCACACTGGATACCTACCTCATCTTTTCCTCCGGCGTGAGATCATCTAAGGTCTACAAGAATAAAACAGGAAAACAAAGCCATTAAAAAAAAGTCCCATCTTTTGATCGGTGGTCATGTAGGTAGGCATCATCTATTTTTTATTGAAGGATGCATGCGTACCTACTAATATATTCGTCCCCCTACCACATAGTAGTGCGCTTACCTTATTCAACATATCGACCGGCTCGTGAAGATTCATTTTGACTGTTTTCGGTAATTCCTTACACAGCTAGCTTATTGATTCCTATCGATTCCTTCGACTTCATCCACTATCGGGCTTCCAGTTGAGTGGACTAATTAGATTTAATTGCAAGTTTCTACACTATATTGAATCCATATTTCAAATCACAAACCACTCTGTCGTCGTCTGATGATATTGGTCTGCGGTGCAAAGGACAATCACTTTTTTCCGCTGCCAGTGCCACTGGCCAGTCGTCGCCCTTTTCCAAATAGACTAGACAGCCGCTATGTTTTGGATACGTCTCAAAAACGACTTCCACAGAAATTAAATCTAGCTGCGGTCCGGTGAGAAGGAAAAAAATGACTGCTCTGCTGTCACGTAAAAATTTTGACAACTCTCGCGCAACAGTGGGATGGAGTGGAATTTTGGGACTCAGAATTTTGAATTATATTTCTGGAGTCTTTTTTGTTTGGGTCGTATTAGGCTTTTAGAAATTCATTCATACTAATGAGTAAAAGTGACTTCCTCTCTGAGTCAGATTCGTTTTCAGTCCATTGCTTTTGTGAACGACTTCAATCCCCGATTTAAAGCGAATAAAATCTCAACAGATACAAATTGGATTTTGGAATAAGTTTTGACATTTCAAACTTAAATTAATGAAGATCATGAAAGCTTGGCGCCGTTTTCAAGATTCTAATACGAAGATTCAGATATGCTGGATTTTGAGCATTTTTCATTATCCTAGATTTGAAAATATAAAACTTCAGAACTTCATGAAATTTTTCAATGTTCTTTGACTTGGAGTCTTTGCTTCATTCCGCATCTTCATTCGTGGTATTATCAAGAAAATCTGGTGACATAAGAAAGAATAGACGCACATAAAGTAATTAAGAGAACTTCAAGAAAAATCCTCGGAAATCTTCCTACACACTAAGATTATTTCACCGAAATCTGTTAAATTTTACCGAAATCTCAACAATTGAACGTTCAGAAAATAGTTCTGTGATTTTTCACAGCTTGCCTGTAACTTTTTACCGAATATCTGTGAATATGTGTGAAAAATCGCCGAACTGTTTACCGAACGTTCAGCCACAGACAAACAGACATAACACATTGAATATTTCTCACTGTAAAACATCGTCGCTAAAACATTACCGCCATCTGAATTGACTATGCGCGCCACAGGTGGCGGTACTACCAACTATGATACTTTTAAATTGACCGTTAAATGCTTGTTCGATGAACAACTTGCGAGAGTTATGCCTGTTTGTCTGTGGTTCAGCTGTTGAGATTTCGGTAAAATTTCACAGATTTCGGTAAAATAATCTTAGTGTATAGGCAGTTCTGAAAAATTCCCGATTCATGGTGAAACCTACGATTCTGTGACACTACCCCGAATGTCACTACCCCGAACGCCATAACCCCGAATGCCACTACCCTGAATGTCCTACTACCCCGAATGGCCATTACCCCGAATGCCCTACTACCCCGAATGGCCATTACCCCGAAATTAAGACAAATGAAAGAACAGCAAGGGGTCAAAAGAAGGGTACATTTTTAGAAGGAAATTTCGTTTTGGAATTTATACTGAATACAAATGATAATTTTTTATTGGAATTTTGAAGCTTGCAAGCGAGCAAGCTTGTTTTACGCGAGAAGCCCGAGAGATGTCGTTACTGAGGTCCTATGTTTTGAGATACTATGTTTTCAAGAAAAACTTTTTCAAAGTGTTATGTCTGTTGTCTGTGATTAAACTCTCTGATTAGTTTCACTTTACTAAATTGATGATACACTACGTTTACTTTTATGGAACTATGTATTTATCAATTCCAAACCATTTTAAAGCTCTTTAGAAAATGACAACCTTCAAGTTTTCGAGCACTTCGTTCACCATTTAAAAAGTCAAAGGGTCTAATATGCAATCCAATTCAATATGCAATACCAGTCGGAAACTGTTAAACCTTATCAAAGAATTGTTCGACCTGAGTCTAGACCTGAGTTGAAGAATTTCTCGTTATGGATTGAAAAATCGGTGCATGGAACGTTGAACTATCGATTACAAATTTATAACATTATTCCACACGTTATTATCCCAAATGGTCATTACCCCGAATCCCTTGCCAAAAGCTATTGATTACATATTCTCCTTATATATTAAAAGAAGGGAATATTCCCTTCCCTTCTTTATCATACATCCAAAGAATAAATTATTTTCTTTTTATATATTCAAAGAAAGGAATGTTCCCTTCTTTATCGTTCATCCAATAATTAATTATTTCCTTTTGTTATATTTTCAAAGAAGGGAATATTCCCTTCTTTATCATATATTTAACGAATTGATGATTTTCTCTTTTATATATTAAAAGAAGGGAATATTCCCTTCTTTATCGCATATCCAAAGAATTAATTATTTCCTATTGTTATATTTTCAAAGATGGGAAACCCCCTTGAGCCATTAAGGGGCTGTTCATTAACTACGTAGACAGTTTTTTTTTGGGATTCTTGACCCCCCCCCCCTTCCCCTGCGCAGACAATTTTCCATACACAATTGCCAACCCCCCCCCCCCTTCCCTAAACTGTCTACGTAATTTATAAACATATCCTAATAAGTTTTTCTTTTCTTTTTATATACGCGAAAGAATATTCCAGGAATGACTATAATAAACAAAAATAGTCAATCTAATACATGGCATACTTTTCTGGGGAATGGTACATTCTGGGGAATGGTTCATTCTGGGAAATGCTTTTCTGGGAAATGGTGCATTCTGGGGAATGAGATTCTGGGGAATGGTTTTCGGGGGAATGGTTTTCTGGGGAATGTTATAGAATCCTATCATTTGTATTCAGTATAAATTGACCACTTTGTCAAGCAGTTTTGGCGTGACTTTCTACCAGCGATTTCACAAAACTGAACCAACTAATTTCTATTTTTAATTATAAAACGCACAAATGTTGGCTACTTTTCTCGAGGTTCTAGAAGAAAAAATCTCAAAATAATGTTTTATTTCAAAGTTCGAGTGGTAGTAAACGTCATTTTAAGTGCTCGAATGAAGTGGTTAATTAGAAAATTTCCTTCTCAAAAATGTATCCCTTGCTGTTCTTCTATTTGTCTTAATTTCGGGGTAGTCGCCATTCGGGGTAGTGTACTATTCGGGGTAACGGCGTTCGGGGTAACGGCGTTCGGGGTTATGGCGTTTGGGGTAGTGACATTCGGGGTAGTGTCACAGAATCGAAACCTACATAGAAATCTATAAAAGGAAATTGTATGGAGAGCATCAACCATGGGAGTAGCCAAGTTTCAAAGTAGGAGGAGGGTGGGGGGGGGGGGGGTGGTAACAATTAAATCTCGATTAGCAATTTCCTGGTAATTTCAGAAATTTCCCCGATTAAGCGTAACACCGAAAATGGTTGTGCTGTAAGGATCACTGTTAAATTAGTCGTTCCAAGGTCAGCAAAATCTGCCAGAATTTCTGTGGAAGGTTTTAATGAATTTTCTTTAAACTAATATCCCTTTGTCTTTACAGAGTTCATTTCAGAATTCCTCAAGAAGAAATGTTTGTATCTCGGAATTTCCTTGAAATTTTCTGCATAACAGTTCAGGAATTCTATGCTGAATACTTCTAACAAAAATCATGGAATTCATCCTAAAATTTTTAATGATCCTTCCAAGAATTTGTTGAAGTTTCTTTCGTGATTCTATTTGAAATTTGCCTGAATTCAACATAGAATGTTTCTGCAATTCATTGGAATTGAACTCGGAATTCCCATAAAAACCTTCTCAAAATGTCTTCGAAATTGTAACTTCAAATTTCAATTCCCTTGTAATTAATCTCAGAATTCCTTTGAAGCTTTCTTCAGAATGTACTTGAAATTATTTTTAGATTTACCTTGGAATTAGCCCTAGCATTATTAGGGAACTATGCTCAGAATTTAATATGCTTGGAATTTTCTTCAAATCAGTGCTCGCCACAGTCATCTGTGGTCATACCAATCGTATACAATTTCCAGTTACCTACATACCTAAACTCTACTGTTTAATGATAACGCTCAAAACACACACCTCTATTGAGGTAGGTTAACAATAGAAACATTTTGATAACCGATTGCTAACCTGTAAAAATGTGCAATCAAAAGTTTGATCTTTGCCAGTTTCTTCGTTCTCATCAACCGATTAGCTTAAATATGTCCATGTCCTAGTAAATTGAGTAAATTAATGTGCCACACGTGTGTTCCAGCAAAAACAAAAATAAATAGCAAGCTATGCCTCGCTGGGAACGATGGGAACAGTTCAAACACCAGTTGTTTGTCCGTCGCCGAGGTCGAGCCAAGGGCATGATGTCCGAGGCAGCAGTAAAGTCAATTGTCACGTTGAAGAATGTTTCCAAGGGCACCCCATCGGCAGCCAGTGCTCGAACGGGTGCCAAAAAGTTCTCAACCAGCAGCGACTACAAGCAGATATTGAACCGCTTGAAAGTGGACTTTGAGAAAAAGTACAACAACCCGAAGAGCTCAACCGATACTGGACTGCAAGATTACGATGTGCTCAAGACGCTGGGTACCGGAGCATTTGGCGTTGTGGTTAGTATTATTCTATGAGTCATCCGGGTTAATTACGGTTTTTATAATAAATTTAAATTTAAGAAATTGATCCGTAAAAAGAACACCGAAGAGTACTTTGCATTGAAGATTTTATCCAAGGAGAAGATTGTCCGCCACAAGCAGCTGCAGCACACGATCAACGAAAAGCGAATACTGCAAAGCGTAGAATATCCGTTTCTGGTTCACCTGGAATATTGCTTCAAGGATAATGCCTACATCTATCTAGCGATGCCGTTCGTGTGCGGTGGGGAGATGTTTGCGCTGCTGAGAAAATCGAAGCGCTTCGCAGAAGAGCAAGCCAAATTTTATGGGGCACAGGTGGCGCTAGCCATAGAGTATCTACACCACATGAATCTGATCTACAGGGACCTTAAACCGGAGAACATCTTGATCGATACGAAGGGTTATGTTAAAATAACAGATTTTGGCTTTTGCAAGGTACGATATCAGCTATACAAATATTGGTATGCCATTGACCGAAGGATGACGTCTTTTTTTTCAGTTGATTCGCGATCGAACGTGGACCCTTTGTGGAACTCCTGAGTATCTAGCTCCGGAGATTATTCAATCGAAAGGATATGGCAAGAGCGTCGATTGGTGGTCTTTTGGGATTTTACTGTTCGAAATGGCGGCGGGATACACTCCTTTCTATACGAACTCAAGTGATCATATGGTGCTGTTTGAAAGAATTTGCAAGGGAAAATTTCGTTTTCCTGCTAACTTCAGCGGTGAACTGAAAAATTTAGTGCAGAGTATTCTGCAAGTTGATCTGACGCGACGGTTTGGTAATCTAAGGAACGGAGCCAATGATATCAAGCAACATACATGGTTTCGTGGCACGAATTGGATCGGCTTAATGAACGTGGAGGTTACTGCGCCTTTCGTTCCCAAAGTCAGCGGGCCAGGCGATGCTTCCCAGTTTGATGTTTACGACGAACAAGATTTAAAAGTTGCTTCAAAGTGTTTGTTTGTCAAGGAATTTGCTGATTTTTAATTGATGTTTTAAATTTACTTATAACAAATAAAGAGATATAATTAACAACCATAATCTTCTTCAACTCCAGATAGTTCAATTCATATTACAAAACAATGAAACCGTAATATTTAGTAAAAAAAACAATTACCTCAGTATTGAGGCATCTTCAGACTGATGGACCGTCCAAAGCGAGAAGTGATCTTCTTCATGACACTATCCGGAGTGGCGGTGACATCCTTTATTTTAACCTTGTTGGGTTTCTTCTTCAGTGTACGTTTCAAGGTAGGCGTTTTTTTGGGACGTACGGGACGCCCACGACTTGGACCGGGTGTCGAACCATCATCGATGACCAATCGTTGTTCGTCTTCGGTGCTCACTCCATCCGTATCTTCATTATGCAATAGCTTATGAACCGCAGCCACATTGACCGGGAATTTGACGATAGGATTGATCAATTCTTCGAACGTTGCCATCTCATCGTCAGATATGGGGGTCGGTGTATTTGGTGGAGCGACCGTTTGAAAACAGTAGAAGTCACTGGATGGTGGCGGGGGACTACGGTCACGGAGGACTACCTCCGGATGGGCCGACTCAATGTGACGACGCTGAAATTATGGATTTTCTTTGTAGGACTGATTCAATAAATCTTCTATCATAAATTACCACAGCATCCTTCGAATCGAACAAACTGAAGCAGACCTCACAGAACGGTTTAAGGTGCATTTTCATGTGTGTAACCATACTTAGCCGGGTATGAACAACATACCGACATTCTCGGCAAATGAATTTGGGACCCCGTTTTTCGCATAGGTTCAATTTGTTCTGTATGATATTCTAGAAAATTCAAAGCAAATTTTATGGAGGCGTCCGATGAACAACAGTAGTCTTTAATACTCACATAAGCAGGGCCTTTCGGGTTTGCCAAAGAACCTTCCATTTCTTCCGGTTCGTCGAACTCTGATACTTGACTGACTGGGATAACTTCTCCTACCAGCAGGGATGAACGATCCGTCGATTGCGTTCCGTAAACAATGTTAAATTTGGCCAAATCTTCTAATGTTGATCCTCCAATAACGGTAGTCGTCGGCGTCAGATGATGGTTCCAGATAAAGAATGCTTTTGGTTCCTCCGCTGGTTGAATTGTACTGTCCTTGCGCGACATTTTTTTGAACGATTCTAGGTGAAGCTTGACGACGTTGGAATAATCAGCGCTTGCTTCGTTTGTTATCAGTTCGATTTGCTTGTTTTTTTTTCTGAGCCGGCCAGAAGCGAAACAACGGAAAGAACACAAAAGAACTCTACTGCGGAAATCAAATCAAGAAAAGGCGACAACTCAAACCACAGACGATAACAAAGTCCTATTGTTTGCTTTGTTTATTCGAAAATGAAACCAATTTTAATAATATTTACAGTTGCACAATCACTCTCTTATTTCAAGCTGTGAAAATCGTAGAACCGGTAGAACCCAAACCGTCGCGAAACCAATCAAAAACATTGATGTGTGTGTGAGTGGGCGTGAAGATAACAAAAACATCTCCTATTGGAAGATTGCCGTAAAATCTCAACGCAGATGTCGCCACTGCATGATGATGATAATGTTGACAGACTGCATATAAAATTCGTGAAAATTAGCGTTAAATCATAATTTTCATCAAGCCTGTGTAAAATCCTTCCAATATAACATTCGAATTGAAGAAGAAAACGTTTTCACGATCAGACTGATATGCATCTTTGACTTTTCCAGTTGAACTTTCATTAGATATATTCATTTCATTTCGCGGCTCCATCAATGCTGCATTGTAAATATGATGTAAACAGAAGTAAATTGCTCAATTACTCAAAATAAAGATGATTTGTATTCTTGTTATCACTTTGAAGACCATCTAGCACCATTTTATAGTATGGTGCGTGTTGAGTAAAGCAAGTTCCGTTGCGTTTTCCGTCGAAAATTGTGAGTATCAATATGTTTTCTTAGAAAAGGCCAAAATGAACATTTATTTAATATTGGCGTCCTATACAACCAATTCTCCATTACCACCAGCATGATACAACCTTTCATAAGTAAATGAACTTAATTTCCACTTTCATCTTAGTGTAAATCTCACATATTTACCATTTTCTGAAAAATGCAGCTGCGCAGGAGGTAACCTCTCCCTGTGGGTGCAAACTTGTTATGCATAATTTGCCATGAAAACATCTCCGATCCATACCGAAATAATAACAAATAGTTTTCAAACACGTTTTCTTACACGATTCAAGCAAAAGTTTCCACGGGAAATTATTAGTTTTTCTTAATGGACCGATTTGCCCCAAAAAGCGTCTGTTTTACTTGGAAAATTTGGAAACTATCCTCCTTCTAGTAGTTCTCACTTCGAAATGTAGGTGGCGAAAGCTTGGAAAAGTTTCACTGCAAGACGCCAATCGTCTATCCTTTACTTTCTCACGTAAAACCGCAAACAAAAGCAGCACTCTCGTCTAGGGCTGCCAGGTGTTTTTTTTTTAAATCCGGCGACTCGATAATCCGAAATGCGTCGGACTTCCCGCATAAACGCGAACCATAAATTGACCTTACCTAAAATGGTTAAAAATTGTTTATAATCCCTGCTAAACTTTAACTGAAATGGTTATGGAACTTTACATGAACGTTTAATGATAAAGTTTCAACCTTATGTATTATGGTTTTTTGGAACTGGACCTTACAAATAATGGGTTGTTAAGAACCATTACCGTTCCAAATTCTTGTTTTCTCCATACATTTTCGGAAAGAGAACTATATTAGAACCTTTTAACTTATGGTTTGAGAACTTTAATGGTAATGGTTATGGTAGTCAGTAAGGTCCACGAATGGTTTTGTAACATCGATCAACTTTATGTGGAATATATCGCGAATTGGTTGCCTGTAATTTACTGATTACCAATTCACGATATATTCCACGTAAAGTTGAGCGATAATACAAAACCATTAATGGACCTTACTGACTACCATAACCATTACCATTAATGTTCTCAAATCATAAGTAAAAACGTTCTTATATAGTTCTCTTTCTGAAAATGTATGGAGAAAACAAGAATTTGGAATGGTAATGGTTCTTAACAACCCATTATTTGTAAGGTCCAGTTCCAAAAAACCATAATACATAAGGTTGAAACTTTATCATTAAACGTTCATGTAAAGTTCCATAACCATTTCAGTTAAAGTTTAGCAGGGATTATAAACAATTTTTAACCATTTTAGGTAAGGTCAATTTATGGTTCGCGTTTATGCGGGTTGTTTGATGGTGTCATTACCGTAGAACCCCGTTAGTTTGAATCAAGGTGACTATAGTATGTATGTATACATATAGGTGTTCTAATGTGTCAAATTCATGATTCAGTCATGTTGGATTTTTGTATGGGACAGCAACCGAGTTTGTTTACAATTTGCTCTAAAACCGCACTTTTCCCTCCCGCGACCTCCTCGCCTATATAGTGACAAAGCTGTATCACCATTTATATACCCAACATGGTTTGAATAGCTAAAGCAATTCAACGGGGCTCATTTGGAATTGGTTAAACGGGTACCCATACAGAGGTGCGTAACGAAATTGGGCAGTAATTTTTGAGTATTATTACTAAAAGTAAATTTGATAGCTATAGGGAGGTGTCTTTTGCTAAATTTTGAGATCATAGCGAGCTATTGTAAAATTTAAAAATCAACAATAATTAGTTTTTATGTTGTTAAAATGCATCCAAAACATCATTTTTGCAAACAAACGTAATAATTACCTAACGGAATAATTGATCAGATCATTATCGGCGAATCAAAGCAAAGCCAAAACTGGTATTGTGACGTCTAGTTTTTAGATCCGCAATTACATAAATGATGACGTTCTAAAAAAAAATCATGCAATTTCACAGATATAAAAACGGCATTACCATTTTCACCCACTCGCCATCTGTGAGTCAATCGTCACTTTGATTCTTCAATTCGGCAAGAAAAGCGCAACCTTCATGTCGATCACGATACTAATGTAATCGATCTTTCCTTTACAGATTTCTTTTGAACTGCGTACAGGATTGATGAATCTACGCGAAACTGCACCAGTGCATGCGACACCTAGATTTGAAATCTAAAACCACAAAAGTGATGATGTACTAAAAAATATTCCATACGATTTGACAGGTAGCAAAACGTCATTTTCATTTTCTCATCATTTCCATCTGCTGGTCGACCGTAACGAAGATTCATCAATCAAGAAATGCTAATAGCGAATTCGTTTATTATTCAGTTCCAACCTGGATCGGGTATCAAGATTGGGTCTGCTTGTTTTCTGACAAACGTCAGTTTGCTCGTTTGTTTTTAAAACCTAGCTCAGGTTGAGGTTCGCACTGACAAAAAGTTCGGTTTCAACCCCGATAATAAACGAATTCGCTTTAAGAAAAAGTAATTTCTGTAGCATTTCGTATCCTATTGGGAGATTGCCGTAAAAGCTCGACACAGATGTCGGCACTGCATGATGATGATAATGTTGACAGATTGCATATAAAATTCGTGAAAATTAGCATTAAATCATAATTTTCATCAAGCCTGCGTAAAATCCTTCCAATATAACATTCAAATTGAAGAAGAAAATGTTTTCACCATCAGACTGATGTGCATCTTTGACTTTTCGAGATGAACTTTCATGAGATATATTCATTTCATTTCAAAGCTCTATCAATGCTGCATCGTACATATGATGTAAACAGAAGTAAATTGCTCAATTACTCAAAATAAAGATGATTTGTCTTCTTGTTATCACTTTATAAACCATCGAGCACCATTTTATAGTATGGTGCGTGTTGAGTAAATCAAGTTCCGTTGCTTTTTCTGTCGAAAATTTTGAGTACCAATATGTTTACCTAAAAAAAAAGACTAAAATGAACATTTATTGAATATTGCCGTCCTATACAACCATTTCTCCATTATCACCAGCATGATATAATCTTTCCTAAGTAAATTCACTTAATTTCCACTTTCATCCCAGTGGAAATCGCACATATTCATCATTTTCCGAAAAATGCAGCTGCGCAGGAGGTAACCTCTACCTGTAGGTGCAAACTTGTTATGCATAATTTTCCATGAAAACATCTCTGATCCATACCGAAATAATAACAGTTAGTTTGCAAACACGTTTTCTTACACGATTCAAGCAAAAGTTTCCACCGGAAACTATAGTTATTCTTTATGTACCGATTTGCCCCAAAAATCGTCTTTTTTTGCTTGAAGAATTTGACAAACAGACATAACATTGGCAAGTTGTTCGTCGAAAAAGCATTTAACGGTCAATTAATACCTCGTACAGACTATGGCTTGTATCGCAGACAAACAGACGTAACATTTAATTCTGGATCATCGTTCACGCATTTAAGGACTGATTTGAATATTATCAATTCCGCGAACTGCTCACCCCAGCGCTGGCATCGGATCACTTTGACGTTTATATATATTCTGTTTAGCTTGCATGCAATATTGTTAGCGAGTTAACGAGCTAGCTTATTCTCCGCGAGAAGCTCGAGAGATATCGTCAAGGCCGGCGCACAATAGATACGTTTTCAGGTTTTTTGACAGTTAGCCCATGCATTATCTGTCAAAAAACCCGAAAACGTATCTATTGTGCGCCGGCCTTTACTGACTTTTTATTGAGGTACAATGTTATCAAGAAAAACTTATTCAAAGAATAACGTCTGTTTGTCTGTGCGGTTTTAGAGCAAATTGTAAACAAACTCGATCGCTGTCCCCGAGGCTGTCCCATAGAAAAATCCAACATGGCTTGAATCATGATTTTGACACATTAGAACACCTATATGTAGTTACCTTGTCCGTGATGATGATCCTCCTCTCGCGCCTCTGGCTTCCTCTCTATACTACTGTTGGTTTGTTTTCAAACATCGCTCACCCGGTCGGTATACAGTTCAGAACGAAAGAAACCGAGAGCTAATAACTGTAAACAGTTTCATCTACATCTATCTATATACATCACCGCCGTCTATGTATTGCTTTCTCTATTTGGCTCATTGAAGAAAACGATTTTTTAACAGTATCGATTGTGTACTTTAGTGTTTGTTTTGTACAACACCGAAAGAAAAAAAAAAGCAGTGCAACCCCTAATGGCATAATGAGTGTGTTTATTGTATTGATACTGAGTGTGGCGAAGGTGTCCTTTCTTCAGGGGGATTCTGTTCTATTGCATGCCGGTAATACTCGCGTATGGGGACCGGGCGTGGAGCTGGCCGACAAACTTCCACTGAATGCGAGGTACTTCTACATCGAACCGAGAGATGGTCAGAATAATGTGTGAGTTTAAGAATAGTGTTGAGTTGATACCTACATTCGAATTTAACGCTGGAATTTATAGAATTTCAGAGCCATTGAAGTATCGTGTCTTGTTCAAGGGACGATCACGACTCGGCGAGTGTAGGGTGAAGATCGAACAAATCGATCGGTTCGATGGGTCTTCATTGATCCGGTACAAACTGGTGGAGACATGCTGGAATATGGAAATTCACGTTCTACACGGAGAGCAGCACTTGGGCGAATCACCGTACACATTTAGTGGAAAACTGTATACGGAAAATTGCAACTGTCCTCAGGACCATCTTAATGATTGGATTCGACAGATTGATTGTCCTACGACGGACGTACAAATAGAGAGTGACTTGATACCATTCCGAGCGGTTAATTTCTCCAGTCTTAGGCCAAGGATTATTCAACAGTATGACAAGCCTGGAAGCGTATCCTTGTGCAACTATGTGGTCAAGGATAATCAAATTTATCGAACGTGTTACGGGCGATACACGGGATTCAAAATGTACATGGATGCACTGTTGCTCTCGATGGCTCGAAAAACTGCTCTTCCAGATATGGAACTATTTGTCAATCTAGGTGATTGGCCACTGGTCACAAAAGGTGGGCATCGTCGAACAACTGGTCCGTATCCTATATTTTCGTGGTGTGGTAGCGAGGATACTTTCGATATTGTTATGCCAACTTATGACATCGCCGAAGCGACGTTGGAAGCAATGAACCGCGTGACGCTCGATATGCTCTCGGTTCAGCGAAAGGGCATACCTTGGAAGGATAAAGAGCCCAAAGGATTTTGGCGTGGTAGAGATTCATGCCGCGAGAGGCTCGACTTGGTTAGGATATCGCAAAGGCATCCTGATTTAGTCAATGCTTCTTTAACTAATTTCTTTTTCTTCCGTGACGAAGAGAAAAAGTACGGGCCGAAGGTGGCGTACATTTCGTTTTTCGACTTTTTCAATTACAAGTATCAAATCAACATGGACGGAACGGTAGCCGCCTACAGGCTTCCTTACCTGCTGGGTGGCTCTTCGGTAGTGTTCAAACAGGCTTCAAAGTATTACGAACATTTCTACAGTAAGCTGGAGAAATGGAAGGAGTATATTCCGATTAAAAAAGACTTATCCGATCTAGTGGAAAATATCGAGAAGGCTAAGGCAATCGATGACACAATGCTGGAGATTCGCGATAATGCCAAAGCCTTTGTTGAGGAGCACTTGTTGCCGAAATCTATCCTGTGTTACTATGGATTGCTGTTTAAGGTAAGCTTGTGAAGGAAGAAATTAGCCTGGCTTATCTCATTTTGCTAATTCTAGGAATATGCTAAAAGCATAGTCAGTTCTATTCAAATACTGCCGGCAATGGAACAAGCGGAACAACCAACGACCACCGCGAGTTGTGAATGTGATTCTAAGCATGAAAACCATCATGATGAACTCTAAGCGAACATTCCATATTAACAAAGATCTGAAAATTTCATCTTTTAGCAGACGAGCAGACCACGGGCATTTAGCAGAAAAATACATACAAATTACCTAGTAAAATTAATTTAATTGGACCTTTTACAAAATAGTGCGTAGGTATACATATTTTAATTCGACAGCATTTACTTCTCCTTAACCTTTGCTTCCGCTCCGACATACTTGATTTCGTCGAAGGCTTTCCTAGCCCGTTTCAGTTCCTCATTCATCGTCAGCAGGTCCTTTACCCTGGAATACTTTCGGGCGTCTTTCCGTACGAGAAAAATTATATCTTCTACCTGCACTCGACCGGTTCGGCCAATTTCCATCGCTCGGTGGGTCATTTCGGTGATGAACTCAATCACCAGGTCCTCCAGCAGATCGACGCTCTCCGTGTACGGGTTCTGGTCATCTCCGAAGCCGTACATCATGCAACGCAGCTCCTTGCTAAACAGACGCTTCCGTCCGGCTGTGGATTCGATTTGAACCTCCCCCAAATCGTCTTCGTCGAACTGGTTTTCCGACAGTGAAAAAGGTGTCATTACGCGATTATTAGAAAGTTCTAGATTCACCACTCACCTCTCCTTGATCGAAGTTTTCCTCCGGTGGATTTGCCGTCATGCTTTGTTTTTTATCTTTCTTTGAAACACGACGTAGGTTATATATGTAATATTGTTTATTTTCTTAAATATACACACTTGCAAGTGAATTTGAAATACAAATTTATAAAACTAGCGCAGTTATTGTTGCTTTCGAGCTCACACCAGCAGCTGGCGTCGTAAACAAACCAAAACCTGTCGATAAAGAAGGTGCATGCTTACACGTCAAACTGAAACCGTTACAGCACGTAACGCCTGGGATGTGTTATACCTTCCAAACAGATTAGGGATTACAATACCGGCATCTTAATTGTGATGAATATTCAATCTTCCATATTTTTTCGTTTCTGAAAGTAAAATCGAATGGGAAACATTTATTTTTCTACAAAAGGTTCCAGCATTAACCTTCCAGCAGTCGCGTTGGTGCACTGAGTGCACGCTCAAAACATTATTGATGATTTTTTTCAAAAATTTGTTTGAATATTTAAAAAAATGTTTATACAGTGCTGTTCGATATAATAGCAGCGCATGCCGATTTTCATACAAAATTAACAACTTTGTTCTCTTAAGATCAATTGAAACGTTCGCCACAGAATTACAAATATGATCAATTTTACGATTGCAAAATACCAAATTTTAGGAAACACCTTTTTCGGTAGGTACTAGGTAAAATTGTTCGAAATTTAAGGAATTTTTTTTTTAATTTATGTACTGCAAAAATTTTAAATTTGTTTTAACTATTATCTACATTTGTTAGGTTGGGGATTATATAAATTTTTAAAAATTTAAAATTTAAGAGAATTTTATATTTTGTAATTGTAAAATTGAATATATTTTTAGTTCTGTGACTATGGTTTCCACTCAATTGATCATAAGAGAACAAAGTTACATCATGTCAAAATTGACCATTTTGTATGAAAATCGGCATGTGCTGCTGTTATATCAACAACCAAAAATACAATTAAAATCCGAATTAGTTAAAGTGAAATTTTCTATAATATTTGCTCGCACAAATACCGCTGATTTGACGCTACTGCTCTTGGGTTAATCTTTTGGTGATGCAAGATGATTGTTTTATTCCAACATAATAGATTAATGTGTCAATGTGGTGAAGTTGTGAAAAAAGTGTATTTGTCTGTTGAATGCAAATTTAGACCCCAAATAAATCTTTGGACCAAAATAACATTATATACTACCCATAATCGCATAACAGTCTCATATAGATAAGAAATCAAGCAACAGTGGGACTGATATGCGATTATGGGCAGTCTGGGTGTCATCTGGAAGATGGGGTCATGCAATAATTATGTCACGCTAAATCGTGGAAAAAATACACCCCCTCCCTCCCCAAGCACTTAGGCCGTATGGCCAATTAGCCATACTTGTACACTTCCCCTACATGCATCACCACGATAAAAAAAAATAACGGAGAAAATCTTATTTTACAGTAGATGCACAACGTATAAATTGCCATTTCGGAATCCAAGTCCCGTCGAAGTCAATCTCAATGAGTCTCGCGAAACAATAAAATTCATTATCTTCTCAACTTACTAACGTCTTGCATTTTCTCTCACTTTTCTTTGCGTATTAAACGCGTTCCTAAATAATTAACTTGATATTCTTTTCGTTAACATTGAATGGGTTTATGCTATTTTATATGAAATTTTACGAAACAACGAATCCTCTCAATCAATTTCAATAACAGACTCGTCGATTTCTATTACAACGGAATCATCAACCATACTAGTCGTACTGCTCGTGCAACTACTTCCAAACCCTGTCCTATCCCGTCCCGTTTCGTACAGATCTGACTCGTCATCTGCACCACTTTCATCGCAGCCGTTGCACTCGGGCGAATCAAGCCTTCCTTTGTTACTCTTTGTTTGATCATGGCCCCATAGTAAGTTTTTCACGTCATCTAGCTGTGCTTTGTAGTCACGGTCTCTGTCTACGTCCTGGTCAACATCAGCTTTACCGCTGTGTTTAGGCGATCCATGAGGGTAGCTACTTACATTCGATGGCGTCGACTGTTCCACGAAGCAGGAGTTGTTGAATTTGCAGTTTCCGGTCTTGGATATGACGAAATTAGCCTTGCCATTGTCCCGGAATTCGCAGATGCCCTCGAACTTCAATTCGCTTCGACCGATTTCGATGTAATTGTTGTAGCACTTCCGAGTTTGTTCTGCTTCTTGCGATGTGTTCAGGTCCAGAACTTCCAAAAGGACACCGTACGTTTTACAGTTACGAATTTCCGATGAATGGAAACTGGCCTGGCCCCCACACAGGATATCAAGTCCGTTGATGCAATCCATAACAATGCTGCCGTTCAGATGGATTTGGCAGTTTTCATTCGCGTAGATACCGGTGGAAAAGTCCTTCAGGACACAGTTTTCCAAACTAATTGTTGAGTTTCCTACAAATAAAAATGAACATTATTTTTCCACAAACAAATAACTGCGCTCAAACAAGAAAACTTACCAAACGCCACTATGCCCTGTTTGGTACTAGACTTGGCGTCACCCATCAGGCAGCAATTTTTGAACGCTACATTGCCCTGTTTGATGAGAACGCCGGTTCGAACATTGCCACAATCCAGCACGATATTCTCGAAGCAATAATCTCCGTCGACCGTCAGAAGTACGCTATCGTCGTCCTTCGAGCTAACAAACGTTTTACCTTCAATTGCATCAAGCTGTCCCTTCTCGCAAGCATCCACGAAGGACATAGCCTTCACGGCTTTCAATGATCCCCCACTATTAAGATATTCCAGAAATTTGATTACATGTCTTCCGGGCGGCAGATAAAGTTCATTCGATGGGATGCATCTATCTAGAGCACCTTGCAAAGAATCACAGATCCGAACAGTTTTTGACTGAGCAACTATTGCCTTGGCTTCGTTTAAGTACCCAATATGTTGATCCAATGTTCCAGTTTGAACCACAATCAGAACTTCCTCTTCTGTTCGCTTATCTGCGGTCGATCCAAAACGAACTTTTTCAAACGCTTCTCTCAAGGTCGGATCTTCCAGAATCTTCATCTCGTTTTTAATAACATTCAACCGTAGATGGAGCTCGACCAATTTGCTTGTCCTCCTATTCTCAACCAAACTTTCACTCTCTGAACCATTCACATTGCCATCCTCTTCTTCGATTTCCATCTCCAGCAGCTCCCGTTTCTTCTGCACATAATTAGCTTCGGCCAGCAAAGCCAATACGTGCGAAACTAATCTCTTGGACATTGCCCGCTTCTTGACATCGTAATAAAACTTGATCCTATCGTACAGGTTCTTCTCGGCCCAATCGCTTCCATCGTCATCCTCGTCGTTATCCCAAGGCATCCACACATGCTGATAGAAGAACCTCAACCGATCCAAACAATCTGCCGTGCGATCAACATTGAGTGCATCATTTTCTTGCTCTTTCAATGGCCATAACTCTTCCAGCGAAACCATCTGCTTATCGGGCATATGCACATCATCCTCCTGCACCGACTCAACGGTAAAAATGGCTTTGAGCTCATCAAAAAGAACCTGCTCCACCGTACCAACGACAACGGTTGGAAACTTGATCGACAGTTCCTCACATATCACACGGGGTACTCGCCACTGTGCTTGCCACCCGGTGGGTTCGATCGCCATCTCCACATAGTTGGCCCATTCGGTACGTACCTCGGAAGCCGGAAGCGCTATGCCTCGGGCGCACAACACATCTGAAGTTTCCTGTAGGCGGGTAAGCAAGGATTTCTCGAAATCGTACACCTCCATAGCTGGAAAAGAATGAAAATAATGTAGAATGTAATAAACTTTGATTCAACCCTAAATAATAGACTTTGATAGTACCGAATATAAGTAGAAATAGAAGTAACAATAATTAAAAATGAGAGGATTAATAGAATTGTGTTAGCACCAGCAGACGTTAAGTTTGGTAAATTTTAAAGAATGACGATGATGGAAATGAAAAGATTTTGAAGTTTTCAATGATTGATATCGCCCTTCAGAAACAGTATTTGGCTTACACGGTAGCTCACAACAACTCAAAATTGAGTCAAACATTCTCATTCCAGCGGGAAGTATGGCAAAAGTGAGTAGGCGCACTTTTACTCACTTTTGAGTAGACGACGTTCTCGCGCAGAGTGAATCAAAACCCACTCTGTGATATTTTCTGCAGAGAAGTTTGTTTTGATAAAAAATTGAAATTATCTGCTCCAGATTCATTTAACTGGAGCTGAAGACGACTGAAAACCTGCAATTCCTAATCACCTTAATACATTTCTGCCGCTGTTATACAATAATTTTGCCCTTTCTTAGAGCCTTTTTTTTAAAGTCTCGGATTTGGCAGACTGAGTGGCTTTTACTCAGTTTGACATTTCTCGTTTACTCAAATTTTGACAATCTAATGCATCAGACGAAATTGAGTACGATCGACTCACCCGGTGAGGAAGCTGAAGTAAGCGTGCAGAGTGGTTTTTATTTTTGACAACAACAAGAGTGGAGGCTTCAACTCAAAAGTAAGTTTAAAGAACTCGTTGGGTAGTTTTGGTTCTCCGTGTTTCAACGTACGCAGCCACATTTTTGACGTTTCTCGTTTGCAATCGATAGTTTCTTCTCTCGTTTTTTGTGATTTTTTTTTCCTTCGGCAGCGCAGTACGAGATCGAATTCTGATGCGCAAAGATTGTCGAGAACAACGCAAAACAAAACGTCGATAAATGAACCCTCGAGTGCAGTAAAATTCGTCCCGAAACTCAGAAAGAGAGAATTTTATCTTTAGTAACTGTCTGTTTGAAATTGCATTTGAAAATTGTCCCGTGTCATAGAGGTGAAAATGCTAGCAGCTTCTCGTGCAGTGATAACCAATCTTCGGATTGCGCAACCGAGGGTAGCTACGATCCGGTCGAGGAAACATTTCGGTGAGACTTTTTAGGTTATCGTCCTCTCGAAAGAACGACGACGAAATGACCGAACATGATGTAATGTTATTGATTTTTGTGACCTGCACAGGTGGATCGTTCTGCAGCCGTCGTTGGTTCTCGAGAAAGGTAAATGACATGATTACGAGGAAGCTCACAGAACGGCACCGGCGATTGTTTGAAGCGAGTGGCGACTGCCAGAGTCCTTCCTATCCCGGGTGCAGTTCTGAGAGAAAATCTTCCCGATACGGTTGCATTGATCCCGACCGGACGCCCATGATTGGCGGAGATATTCAGTATCCTGGTGAGCGCGACCATTCCGGCGGAGAGATGGTACAAATGCCTCTAAAATCAAGACCAAAACGAAGCGCTCCTGTACGGGAGGTTTCATTATGCGAATCTTTTTAATCAAATTATGTTAGACCTAACAAGTATCTTTCCTATAGCTTAAGAATTTGCCTTTAGCACCAGTTTGCGATAAAACCGATAGTGGGAGTCCCCGAAAATGTGACCTGCCATCTGAGGTTTTGAAATATGTTACCTTCATGAACAGTTTAAGTTTGAACTGACAGCAAGTAGTATTTAACAAGTTTGTTTTTGTTTTAGGAACCGGTTTCCGCTAAAGTAGCTTCACCAGTATGCCCACCTCCTCCACCGCCTGGTCAAAAATCCAATGCTCCATACATTTTTGGAGCGATCGCTTTGACTGCTGGCGGTTTGGGACTGGCCTATAAATTAGGTCTGTTCGATGGCAAGGAACTCCTAGTGGAAACGGCAGTACCAGCTCAACCAAAGAAGAAAGCAAAGTTACCATTCCCAGCTTCCTCGAAAGACCTCCCGAAAGAGGTCCCATATTTGCTGATCGGCGGTGGAACAGCAGGTTTTGCCGCATTCCGCGCCATCAAAGGCCATGACGCAAAGGCGAAGGTCTTGGTCATTACCAACGAAACAGAAATGCCCTACATGCGACCACCCTTGTCGAAAGAGCTTTGGTTCAATCCGGAGGATAAGGCTCAAATGGAACCGCTAAAATTTCGACAATGGAATGGAGTGGAGCGTAGCATCTACTACGAGCCGGATGACTTTTACATTGACCCGACAAAGCTGTTGGATTCGCCAAATGGTGGAGTTGCCATAGCTAGGGGCTATGAGGTGCAACGGATAGACGTGGTGAATAGGAAAGCGATCCTTACGGATGGCACCGAAATTAAGTATGGAGAATGCCTACTGGCCACAGGAGCTAGGCCGAAGAACTTGTCAATTTTTGAAGCCGCTCCGTTGGCGGTGAAGGAACGCATTACGATGTTCAAAGCGGTAAGTGACTTCGAAGAGCTTGGAGAGAAACTGAGCGAAGGAAGTAAAGTGGCCATCATTGGGGGTGGATTCTTGGGAAGTGAACTATCCTGTGCGTTGGCGAAATGCAGTGAGATTCGCGATAAGAAGCTGGAGGTGTACCAGCTGTTCCACGAAGAAGGTAACATGGGCAAAATCCTGCCGGAATACTTAAGCCAGTGGACAACGGACCGTGTTAGAGAGGAAGGGGTTAAGGTTTGGCCAAAAACCCAGATCAAATCAGCGGAGGTACAGGACAGGAAACTTAAGCTAACGCTGACTGACGACAGCTGCCTGGTGGTGGATCATGCGATAGTAGCTGTGGGCTCGGAACCGAATACGGATTTGGCCAAGACGTCCGATTTGGAGACGGATCCCTCGCTGGGTGGGTTCGTAGTGGATGCTGAACTTAGGGCACGGTCGCATTTGTACGTGGCTGGGGACGCCGCTTGCTTTTACGATCCCAAATTGGGAAGGCGACGAGTGGAACATCACGATCATGCCGTGGTTTCCGGACGCCTTGCTGGGGAAAACATGGCTGGAATGAGTGAGTAGTGAAGACATTTGTTAGCATCATAAATCCAACACATGTTTTTTTTTTGTAATTCAAGATAAGCCATACACGCATCAGAGTATGTTCTGGTCGGATCTGGGACCAAAGATAGGATATGAAGCGATCGGAATCATCGATTCCACCTTGCCGACGGTAGCCGTGTTCGCTAAGGTCAGCCCAGTACAAACCATTCCGGATACAGGTGAAAAACTGCAAGCCGCTAATGCTGCCGTGAAGCCAGCTTCCTCCGGAGAGTCAACTACGTCGGTACTGGACCGGACGAGCATAACAAAGAAAGCGGAGCAAAAACCGACGGACGAGGAAAAGGACGACTTCAACAAGGGTGTCATATTCTATCTGAAGGATGAAAAGGTAGTTGGTGTCCTGCTGTGGAACGTGTTCAATCGGATCGGAACAGCGAGACGGATCGTGGCTCAACACACACGATATGACGATTTGAACGAAGTGGCAAAACTGTTCAACTTACACGAACGACCGGAAGAACCGGAAGAGGAAACGGAAGCAGCACAGTGAATAGAGGGTTGATTTCACGAGGATGCTAAATTTCCAGTTATAAAAATCTTCTGTGAAACGTTTTCGTTTTTGCATTTTTTTTTCTCTTTTGTATAGAATGTTCGTACATTGTGACGGTTGAATAAATTATCAGTACAGTATAGTATAACGTTCTTTGCTTTTGAAGGTTCTCGTAGGTGCGGACCGGTGGAAAAAGTGCTCAGAAAGTATTCCCAATAAAAATGTGTAACTAAAACGTTTCCTCCTGCTGATTAGAAAGAAATACCTACTAGGTTACAGCTGGAAATGTCATCAGAAGTAAAAACAATGTTCAGTTTTGCATCTCAATTGATATATTTACGGAAATTAATATATTCACTGGACCTAATGCTAGTCGAAATAGTCCTCGATATCAATATTCGGATCCAGCAAGTCTTCTCCATACGGTGCTAGGTCTAGTTGATTCAAAATAAGGTTCTCACTCGTCTCCTCCAGTCCCGTCTCTCCGATCAACATCGCTCCCTGAAGTCGACCATCGACCATGATAAACTTGATGTATTCTAGGCCCGGTGTCATCCTCAGCAGTATCTCATACTTATCGTCCAATCCCTGCCCATTGTATCGGCCGAGTAAAACCACCTGGTATCCAAATAATGTCGTAACATGGTTGAACAACTCAAAGCAAAAATCCTGGTATATCGTCTCTCCGGCTCGTTTCGCTGCCATTGCTCTAGCAGCCATTGCTCCCATCTGACGAGCTTGTGTCCACAACCGCATCTGGAACCAGTGTTTGGCATGTTCCCAACCAGCATAGCAAACATCGCCAGCCGCATAAACGTTCTCGACAGAGGTAGCCATTTCCCAGTCGACGAGAAGACCTCCATCTGGCCCCAGCTGGAATTCTTGATCACATGTGAAATTCCTTGTGGGCACCACTCCCGTTGCTGAAACTACAAAATCGCATTCAATGCTTTCGCCATTGGACAGCCTGACCTGTAAAGGGCACCCTTCTTTCTTTTCTACAATTTCTTCGACCTCAACCTTGTAGTGTATTTTTACCGCATCCGGAACGTTCTCCAGCTTCCCCGAAATGTCCACAGTCCGATGCCAATCGGGACCAAGAGCAGCTCCCCGCTTATTTCCACTAGATTCGCCTTTTTCTTCCGAATATCTCATCCTCTTGACGATCGATTTCTTCTCCCCTTTGGTAGTTAACCGTTCCTGAAAGAACCGAGCGGCACCGGAATCGACAAACGTTGAGCTGATGTATTCGTCTTTGATAATCCAGTGGACCTCGATGCCGCTTATTTCGTACACCAGTTCCGAAGCGATTCCTCCATTTCCGACCACGGCCAGGCGAGTCGCGTTCTTAACCCGTTTTTGGAACTCCTGAACCGATTCGGTGTCCCGAATACCAATCACGTGCGGACTACCCTTGGCTTGCTCAATCAATTTGGGACGCGCTCCGGTGCAAATGCACAAATAACTGTAGGTGATTCTATTTCCATTCACGGTCCTGATGAAGTGACTTTTGCTTTCTATACTCAGCAGCTGATCTTCTACTACTCGAATATTTCTATCCAAACTCTTGGCCGACTTCTCCTGCACATCGAAACGGGTTAGAACCTTTCCCAGTGGTATCAGATTGGTAGCAGCCTTGACCAACGATGACTCGGTTATCAAAATTATACTATCCTTTGAATCAGCCAGAAACACCAATGTCTCTGCACAAGAAACTCCCGCAATCCCTCCGCCCACAACCAAATAGGTGCAACTAATTTCCATCATTAATTACTATAAATCTAAACTACTACACCGCAACAAATCAGCAACTCGTACGCACTTACAATCTATTGCTTCTGCGCCGGATAGTACTCGGAGTAATCGTAATCCCGGAATGGCACGTCAAACGTTATCAAACCATAGTCCTTGGCCCGTTCGACGACCACCAGCAGTTCCTGATGCCGCTTCTGGCACAGCCCGGTAATCTGGTAGCTGAGAACTTTTCCGTTTTGCGACGAAATAAACTGTTTGATCAGGTCAACGTTCCTGTGGTCCAACACTAGATATTCGTCCCGACAGATGGGACACGGATTACCCGTAGCAAGCTTACCTTGTCGGATACACGTCTTTCGGGTTTGCTTCGGTGGGTAAACTCCCTTGTGATTTCTTCGATACTGCTTCCACACCGGATCTTCTTGATAGGTCTGTTGGTACGCTTCGCTTGTCAGATACCGGATGCTGGTTTCGACCGGAATGATCCGTGTGCGATCTTTCGGATCGTCTCGTACCTCTACCTTGGCTTGTTCCTGCTCTTCCGAAGGTTGATTTCCTTCTACATCATCGGAAGGCGCTGTTTTCTCCGCAAAACGGTTATGAACCGACGTCAGGAAGGACCGACTATTGACGGAAATTATTCCCTGGCGATAGGCTGAAAAAATTTCACTGCCCAGTACTCGAAATATTGACATTTCCTGGCTTTGGGTTTTGTTCTGTGGGAGATGACGTAAGTGGAGTTAATTTTTGCTAACTGCAAAACATACGTAAAACTGAGGATTTTAAATTAAAACTGTTGAAAAATATTTTCCAGCATGATGTAAATAGTTGAGCATATGCTCAAATGGAACGATCAACTATTTATACTGTGAAAATACATCAAATTTACAAAAAAATAATTACCGGTGATGTCCGTGTATCGTTGAACAAGCGCGTGTTTTCTTCAGTTTTCCATAAACTTCGGTAAACAAAAAATTATAACGATTCTGAAGGGGACACCTGTCGTCAATACACGTTAATTAAACACCCCAATTTTCAGTTTTAAACAACTCAACCTGCAATGGCCGTGTACACGGAATAATGGAACAACTCAAAATCGAGATAGGAAGTACTTAAAAATAAGTACTTCTATCACCTCGACTATCACAACCGGTGGAAAATAACAATTTTGAATTGGCTCGCTAGCCTACACGAAACGAAAATCAATTATTTTATTCATGTGTTTCACTTAAACATTTTTGACAAAACATCAGCCTTATACATTCCATAAGACAATTAAGCCACATACTGCCGATACTCGCATAATTGTCCCATCTTTGCTTGATTTCCTATTCATATGGGACAGTTATGCTTTTATGGGCAGCATAGGTCCTATAAGAATGCATAAAAGGTATGTGTGACCCTAGGTGTGACCGCCTATCCGAATCTATCGAACCGTCTCAAAAGTCCCTACACAGAAATTCCAAGAAAGCACGTCAACTTACTTTGCTTGACAGCATCGGTTTAAACATTATTTTTAATATCCGGAGTGATTTGAGATTTGGGCTCGGATTTGGGCGTAATTGCATTTGTAAACAAACACGTGAATCACCGATTTCTTGCGAATAATAGCTCAATCAGGTTGCTATGTGTATCTTACGTGAGTTACTCAGAGTTACTCAAAATTAACTCCGGTTTGACTCATGATCGAAAGCTGTCTAGCCCCCAGTATTTTAGTTTTTATGTATATTTTCAATGCTGAAAATGTGGGAAAGTTCAAGAAACTGCTGCTGCTTATGGTTTTTTGACAGTTTTACAACTTTTAAAATTACTAGCCAAAAGTAAAGGAAACACTTTTAAATAAAAAAAAAAAGTTTTATTTTGAAAATGATCATAAGTGAAACTACGAAATCAGGGAAACTTTTAATTTGATCATGCATTATATTTATAGCAATAATTTTTGTTCTTTGTGTGTACTCAGAGATATGGGGAAATTTCTTAAAACTGCACGACCACTGAAAATAATTCAGAGAAACAGAGTCTTTCATTCGGTTGTATGAGAAACTTCTAAAAACTGCAGGTACTCAGCGCTGAGTTCCTGCAGTTTTTAGAAATTTTCTATACCCCCTGGTAGAAGCAACAATCAATACGAAACTAACGATTTTAAATTGGCTCACCACTTTAGTAGCCTATTGGTCCCAAGCAAACGATTAACGTACCCTATTCTAGTAGAAATTCTAGTACTACGCAATGTTTGTTTTGATTCGCTATGAAAGTTTGACAGATAAAATGAGGGGTTAGTGGATTTTCCTATGTTTCGAGGGGTGAATCGATTAGCTTGGGACCGAAGAGAGTACCAGAGCTGTACCAAAAAGTTGAGCACGTTTCTGCGGGACCTTCTAGTCTTAGAGTTACCTCTATGGTAGAAGTGACTCTCTCTCTCTCTCTCTCTCTCTCTGAGTTATTCACAGTGACCGTGTGGAGGAACTCGGCGCTGAGAGCCTGCACTTTTTAGAAATTTCCTAAGAGGAAGAGGAAACAACTGCCTTCTTTATGTCTGTGACATGTTCTTCTTCTCTCGCGGAAACGACCGTGCAAAAACTATTTCATTATAGGTCGCAGTCGACTGCCAAAATACAAGAAATATATATAAAATAAATACAATTCCCTGTTGTAAAAATTCTCGTGTTTCTACACGTTCGCCCGACTAATCCGGCGCTGGTTCGAGTTTGACAGAAAATTGGTTCATAAAAGTCCCCCTATTGTCTCCTCTTCCTCTTAGGAAATTTCTTATACAACTGAGTAGAAGCATAGAGGTAACTCTAAGACTAGTAGGTCCCGAAGAAACCTGCTCAACTTTTTGGCTCAGCTCTGGTACTATCTTCGGTCCCAAGCTAATCGATTCATCCCTCGAAACATAAGAAATTTCACTAACCCCTCATTTTATCTGTCAAACTTTCATAGCGAATCAAAACAAACATAGTGTAGTACTAGAATTTTGACAAGAATGTGGTACGTAATCGATTTGCTTGGGACCAATAGGCTAGTCAAGTAGTGAGGCAATTTGAAATCGTTTGTTTCGTATTGATTGTTGGTAGAAGTCACTCCCTCTGAGCTATTCTCAGTGGCCGTGTATCTAGGAGCTTTATCAGAGGTGACACACAAGGGGCCGTATGAATTAAAAGAGTTTACTTTACTTTCCCGTGCTTTTCTTATTCGATTTTCTCTTTGCATTGCTACAGCTAAGTGAAACAATTTTCTAGAATTTGTTCAATGCAGAGTAGTAACAACAATCAATACGAAACTAACGATTTTAAATTGGCTCACTACTTGACTAGTCTATTGGTCCCAAGCAAATCGATTACGTACCCCATTCTAGTCAACATTCTAGTACTACGCAATGTTTGTTTTGATTCGCTATGAATGTTTGACAGATAAAATTAGGGGTTAGTGGATTTTCCTATGTTTCGAGGGGTGAATCGATTAGCTTGGGACCGAAGATAGTACCAGAGCTGAGCCAAAAAGTTGAGCACATTTCTTCGGGACCTACTAGTCTTAGAGTTACCTCTATGGTAGTAACAGGTTGTATTGGCTATCAAAAGCAACATCAAACGCACCGAGAAACGTTAAATCTAGCGAGTTATTAACAAAAGAGAAAATCGACGAAGAGAATCGATCATCGCGTACACACTTAGAAAATATCTCCGACTTCGGTAATTATTTTACCGAAATCTCAACCGCTGAGCGGTCGGTAATGTTTTCGGTAAATTTTAGAATTACCGAACTGTCCGTAATTCTGATTGAAAATCAGCTGTCAAAATGATACGAAAAGATCGGTAAAGTTTACTGAACTAATTGTAAAACTAAATTACCGAACATATTGTTAATTTCAAAAGCCCGTTGGAATAAAATTGGGTTCTCAATAAAATAAAACAACACACGTAATTATGAGTTTGAATTAATGTATTTAATTTTGTTTTGTATTGGATGCGTTTTCGTTATTTGGGATACATTTTTTTTTTTGTAAATTCATTCATTCAGAAACAGGTGAAAATGTAGAAAATCGTTGGATAAATGATTAAAGAGAATGCAAAAATTTAGCTCCCGTGGTGCTCAGAGTAGCAGTATGCAAAACAGCCCCGCGAAGAAAAAGAAAAAACTGCCTGTCAGTTGGAGCTGGTTGGACATTGAGCACAGTAAATGTCTCAAGAAGTATGTTGAACGCAAGTTTCAATTCTGCCAGAACCAGAATGGACCATTCGCTCCAGCGAATAACGCAATCTTCGCTGTTTTTCAACGGCTCTCCTCTTACGTACAATACAGGAATCATCGATGCAGTTTGCGGAGGGTCATCGTCCATCTGAATTAACCGGGACTAACTTCAGCCCCGCACAGAAAACATTTAATTGCAATCTTAAAGGAAGAACTTTTAGACAAATGCAAGTGTATTACTTACGGAAAATGTGTACCAGACGTTCATCCAGCTGATGCAGATCATTAAATATAGCTTCCATGGTTTTTTCACTGTTTTTTTTCCCTTTTATTTAAAAAAGAACTTCTCGAAGCAGCAGTTGACGTGAAATATGAGAATAAAAATGGCTGACAAGGTAAAGCTGAGTTACGGATAGTTCGGTAAAACGTTGTCCTAATTTACAATATTTCGGTTAAAAAATTACAGTGTACGGCAATTAAAAAGTTTTACAATATTTTCGGTGAATTTTAGACGAATTTCGGTAAAGCAAAAGATTACCACAACATTATGCCTATTTTTTAAGGTTTTTCGGTAAAATTTGATAAAACTACCGAAAGAATTGTTATTTTTGCTGTTACCAAATAGTTTCAGTAAAAAATATTACCGAAGTCGGAGATATTTTCTAAGTGTGTATAGGCCCTTATAGCAACAATCAATACGAAACTAACGATTTTAAATTGGCTCACCACTTTAGTAGCCTATTGGTCCCAAGCAAACGATTAACGTACCCTATTCTAGTTGAAATTCTATTACTACACTATGTTTGTTTTGATTCGCTATGAAAGTTTGACAGATAACATCAGGGGTGTGTGGATTCATGCAGAACATGCAGGGGTGAGTGAAATAGCTTGGGACTGCTTGGGACCGTTGTTCTGGTACTGAGTGAGCCAAAAATAATAATGATTTTCTTCGGGACCCAGTGGTCTTAGAGTTACCTCTATGCTTATAGTACGTTCAGACTACAGAGTTATAACATGTTATAGCGCTATCTTGATGGTGGTTTCTGTGTTGCAATTAGTTGACAACCGTTATAACATGTTATAACTCTCCAGTCTGGACAGCGTTTTATGCATGCACACTGTAGATCTGTCGAACTTCAACTTCGGTTTTCTCCGTTTTCTCAAAATGGTGCACCGCCGTGTGGATATGTTACATTGGTCTATTTGAAAAGTGACACGAGAGTTGACAAATGAAGAACGTCGATCGGATTCTTGTCAATGTTGTTCATTTCAGTGCCAACATTTCAAAGGGGCGTAATTGCTTTTGTAAACAAAGGCTTTAGCCGTCGATTTATCGCAAATAAAAGCTCACTCCTCCAAATTATCAATGCTAGCTGGAAGAGGAAACATTCCTCTACCTGTTGGTGCAATCAATTTTCATGAGTGAGCTTTTATTTGCGAGAAATCAACGGCTAAAGCCATTGTTTACAAATGCAATTACGCCCCTATGAAATGTTGGCACTGATTTGTCAACTTGTCGCTCCCAACACAGTTCGACAGTGAGCATGCATAAGGGCCTATACGCGATGATCGATTCTCTTCATCGATTTTCTCTTTGCATTGCTACAGCTAAGCGAAACAATTTTGTAGAATTTATTCAATGTAGAGTTGTAACAGGTTGCTTTGGCTATCAAAAGCAACAGCAAACGCACCGACAAACGTTAAATCTAGCGAGTTATTAACAAAAGAGAAAATCGATTAAGAGAATCGATCATCGCGTATACGCCCTTATGAATGCTCACTGTCGAGTTTACCCATTTTTTGGTAGGTTCAGTTTTGACCGATCTGGGTGGATTTTACGCAAATTTGGGTAGATTTGAATTAGCGTGTACACTTTAATCCAGCCCAGCCAGCTGCAAAATTTAATTACTGTTCACGCGTGTTTGGTGTTTTCAAATTAATAAAATTATTGTAATTCCCGCGAATTGTTTTCACGTTTTAACCGTTCTCTCAAATGTAGAAATTGAATAAAGGAGAAACATGAATATGATGAAAATGTGCAGTTTCTGTCATCTCCCGGCTGATTTGGTGTGTAGCCGTTGTCTTGAGGTGTACTGTTCCTTCGTGTGCCAGATCCGGGACTGGTCCGAGCACAGGAGAACCTGCGTCGACATTCCGTAAACTGCCATATTCTCAATATGTTGACATAATTCTGATGCATTTTTATTTGACTTGCCGGCAGGAAGTTATATCCAGCTGACAGTTATCTGGAAGTATTGGCCGGTGGCGTAATGCTACCTCCAAGAAATTCAGTCACAACCGAGCGAACATCGCGGAAACTACTGGCAAACAATGGACGTTCATTGACACCTTTGCGTAGGCCGCACTTCCACATGGGACCCGTCGGAGCGTCGGTAAATCGCGATGTAAAAGGCTTGCCTTCGGAACCGACTGAGAAGGCTCGCAACATCACCGTAACGATGGAAAGCGAACAGCGGATGGTGAAAATAAAAGCCAAAGATAGTTATCAGAAAAACGCGATTGAGGACCTAAGACCGGCGGAGTGCGCAGCGAATACACCTCAAATGTCGGCAAAGTTGAAACTGGAAATGCTCAAACAACACAAGAAGGTGGATAAGGCAGACCGTGTCGTTGAGTCGACTAACAAGCAGTGTAAAACGTGGATGTTGCATTTCCCGCTGGAAAAGTCAGAAGGGGAGATGTTCGGAGTTGTCGTCCAGTGCGTTCCGGCGGATCAACCGAAGCGATGTTGGGTAATTTTGGCAGACCACGAGACTCAGTGCGACAAACTGCTGCGTGACATCAATGGTCAGGTTAATCCGGAAGGCAAATCGATTAGGTACGATGATATACTGGTGGATGATATCTATACGGCTCCGTATGAGGGTTTCTACTACCGGGTGGTGATTTTGGAAAAGGTATGTATCGTGCGTTGAGCTTATGAAGACGGTAGCGTGTTGCCGAAACTAATGTGTAATGGTATTGACTGATTTTTCAGATTGACTCGGTTAAGTCTCTGGTCAAAATTCGACTGATCGACTACGGAAACGAATTGATTCTGCCGACTGCCGATCTACGTGCTCCGCTTCCGCTGATGAAGAATCTTCGTGCGTTTGCATTTCTTATCGAGATTCAGAATCTGAATCGACCTCTTGAGCTAACCGAAGTAATTCGGATTATTATCATTCGGTCGGAGAGCGATCGGAAGATTGTAGATATGGATCAGACGCGTTTGAGTTTGTTACATTGGCTTGGGAACACGACAGTCGGAGAGGGTAGAATCGTGGCCACTTTTTCTTCTCGGAAAGCGCTAGTTTTGCTTGCATCTGAACCGACGATGCCAATCATAAAAAATTTGCACACACAGTTACCGAAAGTAGCTACCATGTTTCCGTTGGCAGATAATTCAAAAGTGGGAGATCTCGTCTGTGTGGAACTATCCGAAGTCGGTTGGTCGCGAGCGATGATCATCGAGCAACACGAAGGTTACCGGTTGGTTTTCACCATCGACAATGGAACGATGGAGTTGGTAAGGGCGCAGGATGTTCGCAGGCTGCCGGAAAAGTACAAGCACAAGCCTTGGCTCGTGTTGAAGATGGATGTAGGCAAGGTGGTTACGAATGAGCTGGACTTTAAACGGATGTGCTATATGCCAAGCTTTGAGTTCACATTTGAGCGGTTGTCATACAAAAAGGCGCTACAAAAGATGAAGTGTACCATGAAGGATTCTGAAGGGAAACGTATACTTGCGGAAGTAGACTTTATGGACTTTGAATGCGATCTGAAGAAAGCTGGATTAAACTTTTGGCCTCATATTCCACAGGACAAAAGCATTGTAAGAATTTCATTCACTTTCGATGTAAGCACCATAGTCGTCTGTCCCAGAGATATTATCAATATCTATACTGGGCTACTGCAGACGGTGTTGCCGACCTTAAAACGCTTGACCACGGCTCCGAATGTGAAGGACGTAATCGTTGCTGTGGATGATCTCATGATACCGTACCGAGCATTAGTCCTTTCCAATGTATCTACGACGGAAGTGGAACTCTTGGACCTCGACAGTGGAAACATCACGAAGACTGTTTTGCAAAAGCTGTTCGAATCCAATGGGTTCGTGAATAACCTGCCCGTTTACACCGTAAAAGTGCATATTCTAGATATGAACGTGTCCGCAATCAAAGATCAGGCTTGCGTTCTTGATCAATTGGATGCCTTCAGATCCGAGCAGCGTGAGTTCAGGATGCAGTTCGAAGGCGGATCGTACATTTACGGAGTGAAGTTGCTCGATGTGAACACGAATCGTTCGCTGGCTACGATTCTTTCGGAGCACCATGACAAAAAGGTTCGCGAGGTTGAACAAGCAGTCACACACAAACGGGAGCACGAAACAGAACAGGTAGTTGCCGAAGGACACGAACAGGACCGGAAGACTCATGAAGATCGTCAAATGACCGAAGTATCTGTTGCACTGGCGGTTTTCACTATCAACGACCTGAAACTGGTCGCGCTGCCTGTGGGAAAAAGTGGCGTCAAGTTGACCATCCTGGATGATGGTGCTCTTGCTCAGGGCTTACTCACCGTCTGCGAGTTGACGGAAGAGAACATAAAACGATACACCACCCTGATCGATGAGGTCAACAGAGTGGCTGCCACATGTGGGGGTGACGGATACTGTCCGAAGTAAGTAGGATATTGTGTTTAGGTACACTTGAATTTGTATACGGTACTTTGTAGATTGGACGAGTTGTGCATTGCCGTGTTCGATGACGACAAGATGTGGTACCGAGCGGTATGCTTGCAGACCCAACCAGCAAAGCACGCATTCGTGGTGCAATTGATCGATTATGGCAACATGACATTGGTCAAGCGCGAATCGATCCGTAGTCTGCCGGAGGAGCTAGCTTTTCCCTGTGCGGCACATACTTGCACCATCAAAGGTAAGCTTGCATATGCTATTAGTGCTACAAACGTGGTTGTAATTTTTTTTCGTAACAGATACCAAGAATGTTGTTGAAACGCTGACCAGACAACAGGCGACGTTGGGCTATGTGGTGGCACATGAGATCCAGTTCGAGAGGGATACATACTCTTTGTCGTTCTAGAAGATAATGTTATTTGAATTTGTTATTATTGTTTTCCTTGCGTTAAAGGAACACTGTTTATTTTTTTTTATTGATTTTTTTGTTATAAAGATTTAAAGTTAATTTTCATTTAATGCAATCCGTCGACGGAGAAAATGTTAAATTTCTCAGTCGATATGGAGCTCCCGAGCTATGTTGATCATTGATATTGTTTGGAAATAGATCCAACTGACTGAAGCATTTCAAACATCAGGCATATCATTTGATAACGGCACAAAAGCATTTGTAAACAAACTTTCTAAGGCCCTTTACACGCGAACCAAAGTACGCCCACGCAAACCAATACCACTTTCGGAAGGGTGATAGTTGCCCCTATCCGATGATGTTGTTGGTTTGCGTGGGTGTACTTTGGTTCACGTGTAAAGGGCCTTAGAAAGTTTGTTTACAAATGCTTTTGTGCCGTTACCAAATGTTATGCCTGACATATAAGTTTTCGAACATTGCTTTCTCCGACGATCAGTTATTAATTTACTTATCTGTTTGTATAATTTTTGAACTCAATGTGTGTGTACAGCCAAGTAGGGAAATGTCGGGAGTCGTGAATTTAAATCCATCGAGAAACAATATATTTTATAATGTTCAGTTCAATGAAATCCGGCTAATAATGACTGAACTGTATATCTTCCTCATCGACTGAAAAAGAGCACCCCTCGATCAGAAATTCCAGTTCAGCGCCTCTTTGTTGACACTTGGCCCGCTGACTGACAACACAAACTTTCGTTGTGGTTGTGCTCGGTCGCGATCCAACGGTTCTCCTGCAGGCAGCCAGCGGCGGCGACCAGTCAGACAACCAGCAGCAGCAGTATCCGTTCGTTTTTCCCCGTTCAGTGCTCGCTCAGTGATTAGCTGAATCTTGACCACGACGCAAGTTTGGTGCAAACGCGGTTGTGACGACGGTCTCCCACATCATAATCCCGGGTTGTTTTGTATTTTCCTGTTCTTTTTCCTCTGCTGTGAGTACACACCTCATACAAACGGTTTGGAAGAGTGTGCGTGCATAGGAATTTTGATGAACAAGAGTGTCAAGAGAGTGTAGTGGCTAAACGCGATTTTGAGTCGACGTAAAAAAGTAGTGAAAGATTGTCGTTCCGAATGCGATTGGAAGATTTTGATTTTTTTTTTTTAATCAAGGTGCGTTCTGTTTTGATATCGGAAAATTTCGTGGGTGTGTTTGATAAACAAGGACTGCTCTGGGGGGAACCACTTTGATCATCAGCCCCCTGTTCATATCGGTATGTGTTTTTGCGCTAGTGCAAGAGAGTGCGCAACGAGATGGGCTGTTCCTGTTGGAAAACTTTGTGCAAATTGAATTAGGAAGTTCTGGTCGAGAAATTCGAGGAAAAGCAGTTGTTGTTGGTCAGTGCGGGGAAAACACCCGAAACACGAGAGCAAAGTAGTTATTTTCGACGGTGAAGGAATTTCGCACACGATTACATAAAAGAACGCACTTTTACTCTTGGAAACATTCCCCGGCAGCAGCCAGCAAAACTGCTTCAATAGCAGCGCAGTAAGAGCGAGTTTACCAGTCAGTGGACGAAAAAAAAACAGCAGTAATTTTTTGTCGTCGTGGTCGCAGAATTCCGCTGAATGTGTGTGCGAGAGCTTTTTACTTGGTGCTACTGCTAGGTCATCATCGCCCAAAGCAGTTAACGAAAATCTCCATCGAATGCTTGAAATGGGGGAAAAACGGCAGTAATGGGAAATCATTTAAAACGTCATCCATTTTGACGTCTTATTTTGAGAAAATTAACAATATTTTTGTTTATGTTATTGTTTAAAATTTTGTTTCAAAAAAAGTGAATTAGTAACTAGGAATTTAGTTGTTAAGTTCTACTGAACTTGTTCTAATACAGGTGTCTCGTCATTTATTTTTCTGTAATAGTGTGCAGTGTTTAGGTTGTCTAAAAACAGAACCCAAATCGACAGTGAAAAAGGATTATAGCTACCGCAAGGGATTACTGGATATCAAATTGCTGCATTAATAATTAGTGTGTGCATACGCTAATTAGGTGGATAAAAAGGATAGGCATCCATCCGGCTACACAAACAGGTAAGGGTTATTAATATTTAGGAATACTGAAAATTTGCCTCACCCAACATCCTAAAACATCTACGAACTTTATTCTTGTCACGTTGTTGTAACCTTGAACTTGCTTTTGGTAGTACTACGTGCCTACCTTTACTCGACATGTTGCATTATTTACATACATACACTATCCTCAACAAACGATTGGGGTGTGGAACCCCTTTTTAGCGAATAAAAGTAAAACGTCAATGCAGAAAAAAAAAACAAAATGAACCAAATACTATCGCGGATTTTTGTTTTCCAAGATGCGAATAATAGTACTAATGTGAGTTTCAAATACCCACACGCACATATCGAAGACAGCTTCTTATAGCCATAGAGATCTTCTTGAGCTACTACTTAGAAGGTTCAAACACAGCGTGGGAGTGTAGTTTTAAAATTATCGCGAGGATTGGTTCTGTGTATTTTTCACACCGGTTCAGTGCTGGCGATGGGGTTTTATTTTTAATTCAAACGTGTTTCGTTTTCGGTACATTGTCAATCTCGTCCCATCTGAGAGGAAGCAGGACACCGGCTATGGTTGGGATAAATTTTCGAGATTACCCTGCCATTCGCAGTTGTTTCTTTGCGAATTGTGTGCAAATTTCGAAAATCATCAATAACTGACAGAATTCCTAAGAAATACTACAAAACCTGGGTAATCCCTTTAAAAACTTAGTAATAATTCTTCCAAATGCGCTTTGCATCCAGTTGAAAGCATTCCATATATTCCTCCAGTCGAATTTACTGCATTATCCCTTCGAAGTGCCTAAAAAGTCACAGTTGACGAAATCGAACTGGCCATCCAGTTTTGGAGATGAATTCAAGAAATATGTAAATGGGAATGTCACTTTTCCCATATGACAATAGTTAAAAATATAGTTGTTTCCGAATAGAATGTACGCTACCTGCTATGCTTTGGAGAAAGGTGCCCGTATTGTAAATGAAAGAATAGCACCGGATTGAAATAACTACTAAATCTATTGTTTTGTTTGAGTGTCCAGTTTTTTTTTTTTCAGAGTGCAGACCTTAAATCCCAATGTTCAACATTGCTGTAGAAGGTGTTATGGGCTTTAACATGCGGGGCACGTTCTTTAATAACTTCAGTGATTTCATTTGCTTCGCTGACGACGTAAACATTGTGACACGACTGGAAGAACGTTTCAGGTTGTGAACACCAGGCTGAAACGTCAAGCAGAAAAGGTTGAATTGAAGATATCGAAGACAAAGTATCTGCTGGCTGGAGGAACTGAGCGCGATGGAGATGAGTTCGAGGTGGTGGATGAACTTGTGTACCTCTGACCATTGGTGACGTCGGATAACAAGTGCTGCAGTGAAATGCAGATATGCATTGTCTCCCTAAGCCATACTTACTGCGGACTACATAAGACTTTGAGGTCTTGTTAACTTTGACAAACGTACTGTGTACCTTGGACAAGACGCTGATAGACGCTGACGCTTTGCAGACAGCGTGGCTGGTGACGTGCAGCTATGGATCGAGTGGACAGAAGTCTTTTGTGTATAGCAAAGGATACTCAGGCTCAGTTAGGTAATGAAAACGGTGTTTAGAGAAGAAGAATGAACCACGAGCTGGTGCAATTATATAGTGGGTACAATGTGCTAGACACGCTGTAAGAATGTCGGACAATAAACCGTGCGTGCTAGGCAGTTATACCAAGAGGTACAAGGTCTAGAAAATGTGAGATGCTCAAGAAACTGGAGACAACTAGCCATGAACCGAGTTAGTCGGTGAAAAAATCTACATCAAGTGAAGTCTCATCGAAGGACGCTGGACCACCCAAGTAACCATTGGCACTATATTTCGCTATATTGGCTGTATACATCTGAACAATGAGTTCTGATGAGACCCGTATAAGGCAGAAATGGTCACTTATTTGGCGTAATCCATACTTGGGTAGGAATGGTAGCCTTAAATTCCCAAAAGCGTTTGTGAATATTGAACACCCAACTCCGCCCATCGCTCACGAAATCACCTCACTGCTGGAGCAACAATAGAAAAGCAGGGTGGCCACTTAACCTGGAGAACCAGGAATTAACCAGGATTCGTAAACCGGGAATTTAATTGGAACCATAAATTTTTATGTAGACCTACGAAACAGGTACGAAATTTCAAGAGCGCAACTATCGGCTCCCACAAAATATACAACGATGTAACTGGAACTTCGTGTTTGCTGCAGTGAAACAAACAGAGAGTTCTAATTTCATGAGCGATGTCACAACTGTGCCCGAGAATTGTGCTCTAACAATCATGAAGTAATAGGGCATATAAGCCATCATGACGGCTATTTTTTGATGCTTCATGGAATCATTTTAAGTTCTCTTGGAATATTCTTCAGAAATCTCTTGGCATTCCCTTTGAAATTACGAAAGTATTCTTCGCAAAAAATAAACATCAGAATTCAATGGTACCTTTCCTCAGAATTTCCTGGAAATTCTTCTCAAAATTCCCTTGTGAGAATCTTATGGAATGTTCTTGGAGTTATCTCTCCTTATCGTAGGGTTAATTTATTTTGAAATCTCCTTTGAATTCCCCTTATAATGTTGAAATTCTTTCAGAATTGCATTAGAATTCCCTGGAATTCTACTCAAAATAATAGTTTCGTCAAAACTAATACTTCTCAAAATTACATACCAGGAACTTCTAATAAAATTTGGAATTCCTTCGCAATTCTCATCAAAACTCATTTGTCATTCTCATCAAAATTCTTCACAATGTTAGTATCCTAAAATGTTATCTAAGTCCATTTTGTTAAATAAGATCTTGAAAATTACGCCCTATTTCTAGATGGAGCTGGAATTACGGCCTAACAGCTTTTGTAAACAATGACTTCTATCGATGATTCCTAGAAATTCAAGGCTCACACACGCAAACCAACATCCTCATCAGGTGGGAAAGACTTCCCCTATCCGATGGATATATTGGTCTGCGTGGGCGTGCCTTGAGTTCCTAGAAATCATCGATAGAAGTCATTGTTTACAAAAGCTGTTTCGCCCTAATTCCAGCTCTATCTAGATTTGAGATTTTACATTTTTCGATGTCTTAATTATTAAAGCACAATAATGTGAAAAAAAAACTGGTTGCAATATTACAAATTTAATTATCCTACTTATGGAATGTAAATTTGAAAATTTGTGCCGATCTTGGAGCCTAATTTCTATAATTCAGAAAATCAATAATGTTGTTTCACAATTGAGGTGTTTTTACGGTTTGCTATGCAGTTTCTTACCCATCAGTGACATCAATTGTTGCAACCAATCTTTTCAAACATATGTAGTCGTTTATATCGAACCGGGAAAGATGTATTGGGCACCCGGGAAAAACCGGGAAATAAATTTCTTAAATTCAGTGGCCACCCTGGAAAGAGCAGAGGTGGCCAGCAGACCAACAAATCCGAGAAATAATCAGGAATTTAAAAAGTAACAGGGTAAACCCGGAAATTCTGCGGGAGAACCGGCAAAAAAAATAATCATTTACATTCGGTCATTTGTTTATGACAGAGCTTTGGAGTCAACTAGTGAAAAAGAGTGAGATTTTCTCTGTCTAAAACTGAAGCAAAAATTCTTGAATTTTGTACGATTAGACATCAAAATTTAACATGAAATTTTTATCAGAATTTCCAATCAAAGAATTAGCTTAGATTTCTGCTCATAATTATCATGTAATTCTTCTCAAAATTACTTGAAAACTCTCATCATAATAATCTCGGAATTTCTTCTATCCTGAAAACTCGATTCCTTTGAATGTTTTTATTTTCTTTAAACTGTAGTCAAAGCTTATCTCAGAATTTTTTCACACTTTTCCTTAGAAATCCTCTAGAATTTTCCTCATGAATCCACTTTTGAATTTTCATGAAATTTTCCTTCGAATTTCTTAAAATTCTGTTATGAATCTTTCTTAGTATTCTTTGCCAAAAGTGTTTGTTTCTTTAGGCCATGTGCACGACGCATGCCTATTGGCGTATGTATAAGCTTGTATGTATGCGCAGAGTACTAGGATAAAAGTAACACAATAATAACTTTTTGCCAGGGGGAATGCCACTTCGGGGGATGCATATTTTTTTTTTCAAAAAAGACAGAGATATCTTGAAAAAAACACTGAATCGGGAAAACCGGGAGAACCGTGAATCGAAAACAACCGGGAAATAAATTTTAAAAGTTCGATGTCTTGTACATTTATCTTAGAATTTTGAATCCAACCCCTTCATTTTGAAAGGATTGATAAGGTCAGGACCTTTAAATTTGAGCTCAATTGACGTCTCAGAATCTTCACAATTTTTGTTAATCCTGGATCTTAAAAATTAGTCGAAAAATTTGTCAAGGATTTCCTTAGGATCATTTCAAAGTGACTTCAAAATTGCTATTGCTTTCAGGATTCCCATCAATAATCTTATAAGTTTCGTCCGGTAGTCCCTAGAAGCTTTCTCTATGTCGGAATTTTGTGTGGAACACTTTAGGAAATCCCTCCAGAAAACTCTTGAAATTAATCTGAAATTTATCTTTGTATTCTTAAAAAAATCTCACTATAAATTGCTATATTCTTTTCAATTCGCTTGGAATATTCCTGGAAATCTTGTAGTATGCCATTTAGAATTTAGAAAAGCTCACAAAATTTTCTTGGATCTCACTTCAAAATGATATAGAAATTTTCCAGGTGCTCTTGGACTTCTCTTAAAACTCTTCTTAGAATTCCCTTGGAAATTTCCTCAGAATCTCCTGGAACACTATTCAGAGTTTCTTTTCGAAATATGCTCAAAGTTCCCAGCCTAATCCTCCCAAACTTTTTGATATTTCTTCTATCTTCAAACTAGCCTTTACTTCTGCAGAGGAAGCATCCATTAATTAATCCATTTTCGTCGACCTCCGATGTATAAAAAAATCGTAAATTGAACCAAACAAAACGACTGAAGTTCTATTGACTTCTTGGATGTTATACGTACTTCTCGGAAGTGCTTCGTACATCTCAG